TCGCCGCCTTGGCTTTGAGAACAGCATGGTCGACGAGGGGGGGCTTCGGCGACTTGGAGGTTGCTTCTCACGAGGCTGTGGACCTCGCTGGGTACGAGAAGGGACTTGGCCTCCGCGTCGCCGGGGTTGGTTGGACCCTCCTCGCCGTCGTCAAGAATCTCATGCACGGCTATCAGACCAGCCAGCATGATTGCACACACGACCGTACTCGTCATTGCATTTCCTGCCATGTCCATCAAATCGGCTTGGGTTTCTCTCGTGAGTAGCATTCGATCGAGAGGCAGACCTTGCAACGAAAGAGCCTCCGTGCCAGAAACGGGGCCCCCGCGGGTGGTCACAAATGGGATGCCCTTCGGCGTCAGGCACCCCGCGATCCCGGACCCGGCAAGGCTGTCATTCCCTCGATCGACTCCCTGAGACAAGTCGATCCAACGCCTGTGAAGTGAATTGTTAGTAAGTTATTTCTGAAGTGAAAGTGAAGTGAAAGTGAAGTGAAAGTGAAGTGAAAGTGAAGTGAAAGTGAAGTGAAAGTGAAGTGAAGGTTGAGAAACTTACTCCTTGAAGTTCATGTCATAATCTTGAAGCATCTTCTTCAAGAAATTCATATCCACGGTCTCCCACACTCTCTCCGGCTGTGTCTTCCAGAAACGATGCCAATAGAAGTCCGGTGCCTTCAGATCATTGACTCCGGGCAGGGATCGAGTGATTGGCCTCTCGGTGCCTAGTTCCAGTTCGTCACGGTGCCGTTGGTGACGAATCTGGTACTGGTCCCAGCTGGTTTCGCTTCGGGACTCAAGGCGGGCTCTCAACTCGATGAGCTCGAGTCGGCGGTCGTCATCACTCAGCAAGAACAACCCCACAGGCGCACTCGCTGGCCGCTTGAAACGACCAGCAAGCTCACGAACGCGTTGAGTGACAGTGTCAATGCCACTCTGGTCCATGGAGTCTCCAAGCAGGCCCGCTGCTTCCAAGCGGCGCTTGTCAATGACCACCATGTACCCGCGCTCGCGTGTCTGCGGGATGTAATAATGCTTTGTGTCGACATTGACACAAACCGACATGTATCCGAGCTCCTCCCACTTTCCCTTCATCTGATCCCAGGGCGCATTCCGGACGTTCTCCTGGACGACCATACGGGGTCGATATCTCTCCGCGTACCGCAAGAGACCGTCGAACGTAGCTCCCGACTCGCCGCCTTGCTGCAGCGTCTTCTTGCGGTTGTTCAACGGAGAGAAATCGACACAGGCAGTTCCAGCAACTAAGATGTCGAGGTCACCGGGAATCACTTCCGATGACCCGTAGGCGGTCCGCCTTCAAAATCAAAGTCAGCATGAAAGTCAAGTCAGGGGAAGATGGATGAGTACTTACGCCTCGTCCCCTCCAAGTTCGGTGATGTCCCGAAAGAGGAGAGGGGGCGGAAGTTCCGTTCAATGTATGATTGCTTGAACGGAACAATCTCGCAGCTGAAAGCGTGCGAGATCCGAAAGTGCTGGGCCTCTGCCAAACCTGCCAAGGTATATTAGCAATTGCGCCATTGCCATCTTCCAGGAAGAACCAAGCAGAAAATGAGAATGGGATGAAAGCAAAATAAATAATATATCAATAGCAGAGTAAAGCCATCGTAACATGGAAGTCGGGCAAAGTTAGGGCAAGGAAGGAAACATGTGACTTGGGAAGTTGGGGCAGCCCTGGAAGCTGAAGAACGTCGACCATGGAACCAACCACAAGCAACATGAACCCAACATGAACATCGAATACAACAAACAAACGACCGAGGAAATAGAAAAGAAAACCGAAAACAAGACACTGCACTTACCCGTCTGGATCAATTCCAGGGCCAGAAGCGGGGCTTCCGTTCCTGAGCACATTGTCGCCACTCGAAGTGGTCGACTGCCGAGCCGACTGAGGACATGCTCGAATCCCATTTTCAGGGCGTTCGATGCCATGTCAGCGAAAATTTCTGTCAGCGTATGCAGAGGCGGGAGGTCACTGGCTAGATACCGACCCCGAGGGATCATGCATCCCCGCCGCAGCTCAGGAATCTCATCGGCCCGGGCCCTAGGCTCCTGATCATCCATTGCCAAACCATCCGCCGACTGCTGCTGAGGAACCCCCTTTGACGCCATGACCTGCGTTGGAGGAGGGGGTGAGGAGCTTGGGTATTCGGATCTTTGGATGAATACTGGCAAGCCAGACAAGAAGAAACACGCTGGAAAAACCTCGAAAGCGAGGTACTCACAGTGTGATGACCTTGGTCACAGACTCAGGGCACGAAGCAAAGCAGCAAACATGCGAAACAGTGGAGAGCCGTGATTGTGTGGAAAGGTGGGAGAGAAAAAGAAGAAGAGAAGAAATGAGACGGAAAAGCTCACTTATGCGCGGCGCCCAGGCAACGATCTGGTGTCTCGTGGCTGAATAGGTAGGTGCTTTCATGCGACAGCGAGCTATACCTACGACTAACCCAGCACTCCGGTAGCACTAGGCCGTTTTGTCGCGATTACATGTGACGCTGACTAGGGCTTCCACCTGCGCTGAGACGTACACCTGCGCTGATACGTACACTACGATATAATAACGACCAAGCTATATATGCCCCAGCAACCCTCGACTACTAGGTCCCGGCATGCGACGCTACTTCCACCTGTGCTGAGAGAGACGCCAGCGCCGACGAATGCACCCATTCCACTGCTAGGTAGCACTCCGGTATTAATAGTTGCACGAGGTCATCTTTGTACGCTGTTTATCATTGTTCCATTCCGTATTGGCTGGGCATCAAGGGACATTGAACTGACCAAGACACCCTGCCACAAAATCCAAACAGTTTGGTAATTGATATGGACGTCAAGGCCACTAAAGCCAAAGATAGGGGATATTTCTGCCTTTGCTAAATTGATGTACCATGCCGATAACTACATGCTTCTTCTGGCATAATAACCGGAACGGTCTAGATAGGTTATTAACGACATTATGAAGTTTTAAACAGAGGTCAGCGTATATCTCAGTGACAGATATGAACGATGTAGATTGACGGACAAGAGCTTCAAATAACACTTGATGAGTACTATCACTTGTCGGCCAACTCTTTTGTTTTTCTTAGGACGGGATATGCTGGTTTCCTATTACTTTCCTTTGCTTGATCTACCTTGAGACACAGAAGACACAGACTACGCCTATAGTATAGAGTATCGTAATGCAGTTATTATGGCAAATGATATTGACACCAATGTGTCAGAGAGCTAAAGCGCCTCTATGACAACCAAATATTGACATCAATGCCTTCTATACGATCTTACGAGTTGCAATTGGAGTTGCAATTGAGACTGCATAGGTACGAATTATGCCGGTCTTGGATGTGATTGGTGCCGGGTATTGATGGTCTGGCAGTTTTCCACTGAACACTGAATATCATGTGTAGAATTTGCCGTAACACCATTTCAAGACACTGCCAGTCATGGGAGGAGAGTGTCTCAGGTACTAGTGCCAATTCTATATCTTGCCAACGCAGCTTGTCAAGGTTACAGACGGTGAAATGACCTTGGAAGGCTTCTCCGCCACTGACAAACGCGCCAAATATGCCCACGGGTTGAAGCATGTTGCCTTTTAAACAAGTACTACGAAGGAAAGGCAAGATAGACGTTGATTGTCGAAATAAAAGGACTAAGGGAATCAAGATATCATTCTGTTACTATTCTGAAGGTAGAGCCTGAGGTTTACCCGGTATGCAAATCAATGGGAAAAAAAAATTGACAACCCCTTTGCGCCACCCATTCGCCTAGTACAGTGGCATAAGAAAAGGAGAAAAGCAAAATATTGGGTATGCCAGGCTTGCTCTCGGCGAGCAGAGCCACAAAATATCCGAATCCATATGTAGTATCAAGAGAAGAAAGTACCCTACCGCATGCCACCCTGCATCAATTGCTGGCGTAACAACATGATCTGGCTTCTTTCCATGGGAGGCAAAGCATCGATAGTGGCCTGGGGCATGCTGAGAACTTGCTGAAGGAGCTCCTCCTGGCCGTGCATCGGGGCGGCAGGTTGAACCGGGGGAGGGGCGAAAGGAGTGGCGGTGACAGGCGGCGTAGCGATCTGACCGGGAACACCGTATGGTTGGAATTGCTGAGGAGTTGGCTGTGGAGCAACCTGGGGAGGCTGGGCGGCCTGTTCGACGATGGAACCAAGCAGCTGGTATTCGACCAGATTCATGAGGAGTAGAGCCTGGAAGACGGCATAGGCGAGCTGAGGCGCTTGGCGCAGCAGCTCAGTAGCACGCGCCGGGTCGGCAACAGCGAGAGATTTCATTTGTGTCAGGACATCGAGCAATTGATTTGGTGGGAGAGATGCGAGAGTATGGGAGATAGCGTTGGGGCAGTCGATTTGAGGGGGGGAGTTCCACGCCCGGAGGGAGAGGAGGCAGCGGCGCTGAGCCTGCAATCTGTTGCTGCTGTATGGGATCTTGGTTCATCATGGGTTGTGACTGCTGCGGGTAATCTGGGGGTACGGAATCCTTCTCGTTGTTGTGAGGCCAATCAACACGGATCTTGCGGCCCATGACTTCGTGATCGTTGAGGTTGCGCACCGCCGAGGCGGCGGCGTCGGCGTCCGCAAAATCTGCGAATCCATAACCTTTGGGCTTGCCGGTCTCAGGGTTCATCATCAATCGGAACTTGGTAACGGTACCGGCCGTGCTGAGGATGTCTTTGACTTGTTCCTCGGTGAGGTCTGTAGAAAAGATCAGTATCACGCAGGCTAGACATGCAGCTGCAGTTACGTACTGTAAGGGATATTCCCCAGGAATACACTCTTCCCAGTCCGATCGGGCGCCATGGTTGCGATAAGAAATGAGATGCGAGTGAGAAAGGCAAAGAAGTTGAGGCCAAGCAAAGTAATGCTGATTCTGCCCGACTTTCTCCCACCGCCCGCAACCTCACCTCATCCGTTCGAGCATCATACCAAGTTAGTCTTCATCCATCTCTAAATCTTTCCGCGCACTTCCTCACATCATGTCTCAAAATCAACGAGAGGCTTGGGAGCGCCTGCAAGTTATGCTGTCGAAGCGTAAGGCCGGCTTCGGCGGCGGCTTCCCATCCGGTGGTGGCCGAGGAGGCATGGGACTTGTCGGAACTCTCGTTCTCGCCGGTATTGGCACCTACGTCGCGTCAAATGCTCTGTTCAACGGTATGTTATACTCAACTACTTAAGGAATCAAGCTTCTAACTAGTTTTTAGTGGACGGTGGTCACCGTGCTATCAAGTACTCGCGCTTAGGTGGTGTCCAGAAGGAAATCTACAACGAAGGTATGGAAACTCACTAGCCAGACAAAGGAGCTCTCTCTCACATTTGCATGACTTTAGGAACCCATTTCCAGATTCCTTGGTTCGAAACGCCGATCATCTACGATGTCCGTGCTAAACCTCGCAACATCCCTTCTCTCACTGGTACGAAGGACTTGCAAATGGTGAACATCACCTGCCGTGTCCTATCCAGACCCCGTGTGGATGCTCTGCCCCAGATTTACCGAACTCTGGGCCAAGATTTCGATGAGCGCGTTCTGCCTTCCATTGTCAACGAAGTGCTGAAGAGCGTTGTTGCTCAGTTCAACGCCAGCCAGTTGATCACACAGCGTGAGAACGTTGCCCGTTTGGTGCGGGACAACCTGGCTCGCCGAGCTGCCCGTTTCAACATTGCTCTGGACGATGTCTCCTTGACAGTATGTACCTCCACCACCCTCTAGCTCAAACAGCTTCTAACAACGGTATCTTCACACAGCACTTGACCTTCTCCCCCGAATTCACAGCCGCAGTTGAGGCCAAGCAGGTCGCACAGCAAGATGCTCAGCGTGCTGCATTCATGGTGGACAAGGCCCGCCAAGAGAAGCAAGCCTTCATTGTCCGCGCACAGGGTGAGGCCCGCTCCGCGGAGCTTATTGGTGATGCCATCAAGAAGAGCAAGAGTTACATTGAGCTCCGGAAGATTGAAAATGCCCGTCACATTGCTCAGATCCTGCACGAGAGCGGTGGCAAGAACAAGCTCTATCTGGACAGCGAAGGATTGGGCCTGAATGTCAACGCCCGCAGCGGAGAGGGCAATTAATTTCATTCCGCTTGATACTTAATGGCGCTGCGTGGAGGAATGTGAATTATTGTACAAATAGCTGGATTGCCAAGCATCTGAATGTGGTCTCTTCTCTATTCTTTTTCAGAGCTTCTTCAAACATAGTAGTTCTTTGTAAGTGGTGGTGTAGATCTCTAGGGCTTATATATATTTTCTCCATGCGGGGACGAAGGCGGCGAGACGATTTTTCTAATTCGGAGGGGCACCACATCCAGTCAGCTACAGTTCAACATATTTGACTAGCATTAACTAGCAAGTATCACATTTAATTCGTGAGTATGACTTGCGAAACAAACCAAAAATTTTTGGGGTGTTTTCTTTGGGAAAATACCTCTTCGCGAACCCCCACTAACAGCACCCAGATCATGCCCGAAGTCACCGACGATACCCCAGTGCACCTCACCGAGGTCGACGTCGACCTCGACGTGCAAGAGATTCTCCTCGCTGCATCGCAGCACGACCAGCTCTAAGCTCCGCCGCCTCCTTCGCACCCAGTCTATGCTGCCAGACGCAGCAAACGTCAAAGATACCGAGACCGGCTTTTCACCTCTGCACGCCGCAATCGCTGCCTGCGAGCCCGATACAGAGACCGCCGGCGCTAATGGCGCAACCACGTCAGACTCGAACCCCAAGGGTCTGGACGCCGATACCGTGAAATCAGCAGTGGAGACAGTTCAGTTCCTCCTGCAGGAGGGCGCTATCTGGAACGATCTGGACGCGAACAACGAGACACCCGGCTGTATCGCGCGCCGAATTGGCGCTCTCGAGCTATACGAGCTGATCGTCGACGCAGGTGTGCGCGCAGAGTTGCTGCTGAACCGCCTCGACGCCTACGAAGAGCTCGCCGATGATGACGACGAAGAGGAAGGAGAAGAGGAAGCCGAAGCCGAGGCCGAGGCCGAAACAGCACCGGAGCTCGTCGACGCATTCGCCGAACCCACAACAGAAACCACAACCACAACCACAACCACTCCTGCCAACCCGGAAGTGTCCAACTCGCAGTATCTGGAGTCGCGCCTGAACATCCAGAACGACCGGATCCTGGACTCCGACCAGAACGGCGTGATGATGCGCTGGGAAAGCGACATCATGCGTAAGTCCGCGACAGCACTGCTCCCGACACCCGGGCTGAAAGTTCTGAACATCGGTCACGGGATGGGCATTGTGGACGGATTCTTCCAGGAGCAAGGGCCAGCGGTGCACCACATCGTCGAAGCGCATGAGGAGGTCGTTGCGGAGATGAAACGGCGCGGGTGGGATACTAAGCCCGGTGTTGTTATCCACCAGGGTCGCTGGCAGGATATTCTTCCTGGCCTTGTGGCGGCTGGGGAGACGTTCGATGCTATCTACTACGATACCTTTGCGGAGTCATATGGTGATTTCCGGGATTTCTTTTCTGAGCAGGTTATTGGGTTGTTGGAGCAGGAGGGTCGGTGGGGATTCTTTAATGGCATGGGTGCTGATCGCCAGATCTCATATGACGTCTACCAGAAGGTGGCGGAGATGGATCTCTTCGAGGCTGGGTTCGATGTCCAGTGGGAAGAGATTTCTGTGCCCAAGTTGGACGGTGAATGGGAGGGTGTGCGCCGGGCTTACTGGGTTGTGGATGATTATAGATTGCCCCTGTGCAAGTTCATGGATTAAGGGAGATATTGGATGATTTCATGGAAATGGGATATTTAAGAAGAGGACATTGGATGTCTATGACTGAATGCGACGCTTGAAAATGCTATAGAATGGTTAAAAGGAACAATGTACAAATGATATCACAGCTGAATCAAATCCACCTCTGAGAAATCTGGAGGACTCCGACTGAAGATCGTCCGACACTTGCCGTCTAGCGCCTGGTACTCGTTACTGATCCAGATATGTTTGCTGAATCGCTGTGTTCGGTACACTTCGTCATCGCTTACGCCCAGATCATCACGCGGAATCCAGATGACAGGCCTCTTGGCGCGAAGGGCTTCGTGCTGGAAGGCACGTTGCACCAGCTGATCACGCTCATCGGGCGTAAGGTCCTCTAGTTCATCATGGATACCGGCAAACAGGGCTTGGCCAACTGTGTGGGGAGCTGGCCCCTGGGCCTCGGTGTCTTGGGCCATCTTCTCCCGCATGTCCCGTAGTGTTGGCGTGGAGTTGGACGAGTTCTGACCGTAATACTTAGATTTCCGATTTGATGAGTTGGAGGCCCATGATGGACGTTTGTGTCCAAGCTTGGGTGTCGACAAGAGATCGGAATTTTGTCGTTTCTGACCTGAGAAATTGGTTTCCAGAGGTTTCAGCTCGATGTCTTCTCGTATCTCCTTTCCGTGTTGGCGCTCTTGGTGTTCACGCTTGGCGAGGTTGTGCTCAACATCACCATCCTCGTCATCCTCATCGTCAAGAGGGAGACCGAGGCGAGCGTGCTGAGCACGACGGAACTCATCATCACGTCGGATAGCTTCATCTTCCAAGGTAATGGGAAGATACCGGATCAGTGGACTAAACGCTTCGTTGAGAAGAATTTGGTAACCGGCCGTCAGGATTAGAACCACAATCATGCAAATAGCCTGTCCCTCGCAAGCGACATCATCATTCGCATCCCGAACCAAGAAGAACAAGCCAATCAGGCAGACCTCCATAACGTAGATTCCAGTGAATAGCTGATTAATAGCTCGAGGGAATAGAAGACCACCTGTGTCAAAGCGAAACTTGGTGACATAGAGTGTGTTATAGCGATAGACGAACCAGAACAGGCCGAATGTGATGACGTTGAAAACCAAAATCAGAGGTGCGACCACGCAGTAGATCAAACCTTGGGTAACGTTAGCCAACAGATTCAAACAAAAAAGACGAGATAGCTTACCAATAGAGGCTAGGGTGGTATATACAGGGAAGAATGTGCCCCATTGCATCTGATTGAGATTTGTTGTTCGTGCCCACTTCTTCCGAGCGGTAGAGTCCAGAATTGGAGCTAAAATGAACCAGCTCACCAGGCCAAATATTTGTACAAGAGCGCCAGCGCTCACAGACATGGCTTGTAGAATCATGTAAGAGAAGAAGTAGTTACTAGACTTCGGGATGTTCACTGCTAGGAGTTGCGGCCAGCTGGTCACATCGGTGACGTTCTCGATGATTGTCGAGAAACTGGAAGCGATGGTGACGACCAGGAACAGCTGCACAAAGAGGAAGGCGAAATAGTAGTTTTGGACAGTGAGCTCGATGGACATTCCGGTGAAGAGGCCTTGTGTGCGGCTCAGGAAGCGAAGGATGAGAGGGAGCAGTGCCATCAGAATAGCTAAACACAGCGCAGGAAGAATACCCTGAACGGCTGAGATTAACCAATCTGGTAACTTGCCAAGCCAGGCAAGCCAAGGGAATGCACCCTCCAGATATGCCAATTGCGACAGTAGCCCAGTGAATGCCACAGGAACGCCCACCCAACGACCATTGCACTGACTAGTGTGATGATGCCGAAGGAACGCAGGTATCGTTCCCACCATTTGATGGACATGTTATCCCAAATGACATCGTCGGGAGAGATTTCCACGACTCGGGGTGCCATCTGCTTTGGGAGGTGGTGACTGACAGATTGACAGGCCATGTGGGCAGCGACTTGGTGATTGAACTGGATGAAGGCCGAGTTCATCAAAGGAAACCGCTCAGGATGCTGCTGATCAACTTCGATCTCCAGATTCAGACGAGCGAGCTCCTTTCGACAGTAATCGATAGTGTCAACCTTTTTCCCTAAAAGCCAAATCGAAGGCATCCAACTCCAACCAAATATGGGTAGACGCATGGTATCTCGGTCCTTTGGCCGGATGTATTCTTTCCACAGTGGCTCTCCATAGTCTTCATTTTCGAAATTTTCATTGTAAGCGATGGGATATTCTTCCCCTTCCGTTTTCTCCCCTTCCTTCCGACCATGACCATCTTTTTCGTTTTTGTCGGGTTTTTTGAAGTCGTGATGGGGTGCATCAGTTGCAGGGGTTTCAGGTGCAGTCAGTGGATACTCGTCAGCCTCACGGACACCCTGGGATTTCGTATGAGACGACTTTCGTCTCCAGAATGGTGGCTTCGGCGAAGTCGTTGGGTTATGACACATGGTGTCATCAGAGGCAAGAGGTTCGGGAGCTGGAGAAGCGTTTGCACGAGGTGGAGGATTGTCTGCAGTTGCAGATTGACCAGGGCTTGGAGGCGTATTTGAACGAGGCGGGAGGACGTTGTCTGTAGTTGCAACGAAGCCCCCGGTCCGAGTCAAGGGCTTCTCCAAGCCATGCTCAACTTTCTTGAAGCCTCCAAGCACTGTCTTGCCCAGTTTTCCCACGCCTTGGCCAACCGCCCCAGCGGCGGCAAAAGCAGGGTCAAACACTCGTCGAGGTCCGTCCTCCGACCGTTTCTCTTGCGGTTGTCCATGGAGCACTTCTTGTACCGTGTGGGCCTGATGAGGATTACCAGAACTGACACCAGGACCCATAGCCATTTGGGACGCACGTTTCTCGGCCGCCTTTTGCTCTTGTTTCTCTGCACTTGATTGACTCTTGCCGGCCTTCTTTGCCTCCGCCCTGGCCCTCTTGAGCTGTGCCTTCTTGCATTTTGCAATCAGATCTGTCTCGGCACTTTCAAGCCTGAGAGCAATATCGTTTCGTGCTTTCACTTTCTCGTTCAAGTCGTCGAAGTTGCGGTTGAGCCAGATGTTTCGCACGCCTCCAGGGAAAACATCGAAAAGCCTATCAAGGGCATCCATATTAAGCCAATCAGGTGGGATAGAAGTAACGAGCACGGTGGTAGCAGAAGCACGGAGTCGATGCTGGGGTGACGTCAAGTAGGCCTGTCGCAGGCGAATGTAATTCCGAAGTTCATCAAAAAACACAAAACAGACGTAGATAATGGCGATCACGGCCATTACCAAATGAGCCCAATACCGATTGGTGTGCTCGGGGGTTACGTTACCCCATGCTAACTGATCCAGACCAGTGACGGAATACTTAGTGCCCGAGTTACCATGTTGGTATGTCTGACCCTTGCCGCCAATACGGTTGATTGGAAGTAGAACCGGTAAGATGACGAGGCCCAGAGGAAGGAAGATCTTCAGAAGCATGCGCAGATAGCGCAAGAAGAAGTATGCATCTAGCCCACATTTCTGGATGAATTCCGAGCTGGATGTACGAAAGACCGGACCAATCCAGCGGAAGAGGCCTGGCGGTGATGGGGTTGTACGTTCTCTATCCGGTACCAAATAGGTTCGCGGTTGACTAGATACCAAGTTCGGTCAGTTCAATGTTCTCGTTCCTCTTCCTGGTGGGGTTTCAGGTGACTTACTATATACGAGTTAGTTTCCCCTTTAGTAACAGAAAGAGGAGAAATTCAACGACGAAGACGATGATAGCCGTCGCCAGCGACGCCAGGAAGGTCGAAATCGAGACACCTTCAGCGGTTCGGCCGTGGCCACCGGTATGTTCCAGTGCCTCCTCCAAGCCCGAAGCCATGACGATCAGGTCGGGTATTGCCGAGGGAAATGGGGAAGCTAGGATGCCAAAAGGGGTATCGAAGAAGCTGTCACAGCAAGAAGCATCACGAGATTTTGTTGTAGGTACCGATGGATATTGGAAGTGATCGCCTGTATACGGAGGGGTCGAATAAGAAGGAGCTCGACGATAAGAGAAGAAAAAAAAATCACAAAGAGAATTTCACTTGAACAGACTTCGTAGGGCGCCAAACTGATCAGCGCTGTGGGGAGGAGAGCCAATAATGTCGAACTTGGGTCTTTGAATAATCTCTTGGTTAATGAGGTGAGTGGCGCGAGGATTGAGCTGGCAGGGATGATCAAGAAACGGTTGACGAACAGGGATTGGAGGGATCGTGGGAGCGCCGATCGGGGATACAATGACATCAGGCGCCAGGTGAAACAGCTAAATAAGTTACGGCGGCTTTAAGGAGTACTCCGTCGATAGATTCTGAAAGGAGAACAGATATTCCCTTGTGTAACTCAGAGTTTCATCTATATTTATAACAAGGACACTCCATGCGTACTCTTTCTTTTTTCCATGACACATTGACACCTAATGGACATCTGAATGCAAATGCCTACTACGGTAGGATTGAAGCTTCCAAAGGTTTTGGTGGGGGAGGGAAAAGGGGAAAAGGGAAGGAGCGATGATTGGCCCACGGGATTAAAGATGTGGCAGTGCATTATGTAATGACAATCCACCAGCCACAGGTTCAGGACCTGCATGTGGCAAAGAGCTCATCAACTTTGGAGGAACAATAGACGGTCCAGGCTTTGCGAAAAAAAAAAAAACAGCTGATTACATTCCGAAATCTATAAAGATAAAGAAGGAACAAGAACAAAAAGAAAAACACAACTCCGCTCAGTGGCCACGTGACCTCTTCCCAATTAAGCCGGCACAACTATCAGGCTCAACAAATATCTTCAACTGGATCGAGGAGCCCGTCTATGTAGCATCTTATAACCTCCTTCCTGAGATAGAACACGAGCGACTTCCTTAATATCCTGAGATGCTATTTCATACACATCGTAATAAAGCACATCCCAGATATAGAGTTTATCGCCAGATTGGAAAATCATTCTAGAGGCATCATTATCCTCTAATATTGGTCGACCTGGGGCAAGACCATAGCTTCGAGCAATCTTTTGACCCGCTGAATCGACACCATCCCACTCGTGTTCAAAATCGGGGCTCCCGGGACGTGCCATCCAGCCTGGGGGAACGATAAACTTCCCAAAAGTAAGTGACTCGGCTTAAGCTAGTAGGATTTCGAATATTTCTTGCTGGTGGCATGAGAGGAAATTCAGTGGTAGACTTTGGTGGGCGAACGAGCGGGCAAGGTGGATTTGGGGAACTGCATGTGGCTGAGGTTAAAACACGTCGTCCCAAAAGGGTAACCACTTAACGCGCCAGTCGCGTCCATGGTGGCAGAAACCGCGTTCCGCCCACAGCTTTTTGCTCTCCCTTTCTTCACTCATATCCCATACACACACCAACCCACCTGACCATCGTCCGGTATCAGCACATTAATTCATATCCACCATGTCGTCACCAGCACAAAGACGGAGGGGTCGCTCCTCCAAAAATTCAACTGCATCCCCCAGTTCTTCGTCCCGACAGGAGCCCCCCTAGCAGCCCGACTTTTCAAGCCACCCCTCGTGCCTCGAGACGTCTAATGGCCGAGGGAGCCGCACCCTCTTCGTCCCCCATTTTTTTCCAGTCATCCCCGACCAAGGGAGATAACAATGCCGAGACTCCGGATGAACGCATGGCCGATGCCAGCTCAACGGTAGACGATGGCGACAGAACCCCGCGAGGCAATCCCGGTGTGAGAGGTATGAATTTTTATTTTAGCAGAGCAGCACCTTTTTCTGATGCGATATAGATCGCTGACCACCCAGCAGATTCTTCTCCTATTCATTATATTCCAAGTTCTAGCCCTACTCGAGGCCTTGGTCGATCTGATATCCGTTCCGACATCCGCTCCGATGCATTGAGCGCCAGCAGCGGATTATTTGTGTCGCCGGGAGGCCAGGGCCGACGGGGACCTCGTCGCAGCGATTTGCACTCCGGTGGCTTTGGGTCTACTCCCAGTCGCCGTAACCGGGTGTTTGTTGATGCCAATGGAATGCCCACAGGTGATACAATGCCTCGCTCCGATGCCACTTTCTCGAATATCAACCCTGGCACCTCCGAAGCTGACGCAATGGCCGGAAACTCCACTCGTGTGATTTGGGGTACCAACATCTCGATCCAAGATTCCATGTCGGCGTTCAAGAACTTCCTGTATAATTTCGCGACAAAATACCGTCTCTGGGCTGACGGTGCCTCCGAGGATGAAACCAGACTTATGGGAGAATTAGCAGAGAGACATGAGTGCATCGCCATGTGTAACGACATGCGACGACTCGGTGTGACCACATTCAATCTCGATGCTGCTAACCTGAAGTCATACCCATTGACTCGCAAGCTGTGGCACCAACTTTCTGCATATCCGCAAGAAATCATCCCTCTGATGGATCAAGCTTTGAAGGATGTGATGGTGGATCTCGCTCTTAAGGAAATGGACGTTCTTCGGTCAGAGAGTCAACGCGCTGCTCAGCCTCGTGACCGACGTGGTCAGCCCATCCTCACCTCGGACAATGTGCTTCCGACTGTCGATGTGCCGGATCTGGTCGGTGAAGTGGAGGCGATGACCTTCAAGGTGCTTCCCTTCGGCCTGGACAAGACCGTGAACATGCGTGATCTCGACCCAGCCGATATGGACAAGCTGGTCAGCATCAAGGGTTTGGTCATTCGTGCTACTCCCATCATTCCCGATATGAAAGAAGCTTTCTTCCGGTGCAGCGTCTGCAGCTATGGTGTGCAAGTTGACATTGATCGTGGCAGAATTGCTGAGCCAACAGTCTGCCCCCGAGACTCTTGTAAAGAGAAGAACTCAATGCAGCTCCTCCACAACCGTTGCTCCTTCTCTGACAAGCAAGTCATCAAGCTCCAGGAGACCCCAGACAACATTCCTGATGGTCAGACTCCTCACTCAGTGTCTCTGTGTGTCTATGATGAGCTAGTCGATGTTTGTAAGGCTGGTGACCGTGTGGAGGTGACTGGTATCTTCCGCTGCAACCCCATGCGTGTCAGTGCTCGTCAACGCTCACAGAAGTCCCTGTTCAAGACGTACATCGATGTCCTTCATGTGCAGAAGTTTGACCGTAAGAAGATGGGCATTGACATGTCCACAGTCGAGCAAGAAATGTCTGAGCAGGCGGCGGAGGCAGATCAAGCGCGCAAAGTCTCGGCCGAAGAAGAAGAAAAAATCAAGCAGACTGCCGCTCGTCCTGACATCTACGACCTGTTGTCTCGTTCCCTGGCTCCCAGCATCTACGAGATGGACGACGTGAAGAAGGGTATCCTGCTGCAGATGTTTGGAGGCACTAACAAGACCTTCCAAAAGGGAGGTAACCCACGCTACCGTGGCGACATCAACGTTCTTCTGTGCGGTGACCCCTCGACCTCCAAGTCCCAACTACTGCGGTATGTTCATAAGATCGCCCCGCGCGGTGTCTATACCAGTGGTAAGGGTTCATCGGCTGTTGGTTTGACTGCCTACGTGACCCGTGACCCGGAGACTCGCCAAATGGTTCTAGAATCCGGTGCCTTGGTTCTGTCCGATGGTGGTGTTTGCTGTATTGATGAGTTCGACAAGATGAACGATTCCACACGCTCCGTCCTTCACGAAGTCATGGAACAGCAGACCGTCTCTATCGCTAAGGCGGGTATCATTACTACCCTGAACGCCCGAACATCCATCCTGGCCTCTGCCAACCCCATCGGCAGTAGGTACAACCCTAAACTCGCTGTTCCGCAGAACATTGATCTGCCGCCCACTCTGCTCTCTCGTTTCGACCTGGTATATCTGGTCCTTGACCGTGTCGACGAGACGGAGGATCGTCGCCTCGCTAAGCACTTGGTCGGTATGTACCTTGAGGATAACCCTGAGAATGCCAGTTCGCAGGAAATTCTGGTAAGTGACCTTTCCCGTGCGATCAAATAGAGAGGTTTCTAACAGTCCTGTCTAGCCTATCGAATTCCTTACGGCCTACATTACATACGCCAAGACCAACTGTCACCCTGTGATCACCCCAGCTGCGGGTGCTGCCCTCACCGACGCCTACGTGGCTATGCGCCAGCTCGGTGATGACATCCGCGCCCAAGAACGCCGTATCACTGCCACCACTCGACAATTGGAGTCTATGATCCGACTTTCCGAGGCGCACGCACGCATGCGTCTATCTCCCGAGGTCACCGCCGGTGATGTTGAGGAAGCCGTGCGCCTCATCCGCTCCGCCATCAAGCAGGCCGCCACCGATTCCCGGACCGGTCTCATTGACATGGGCCTTCTGACCGAAGGCAGCAGCGCCGCTGACCGTCGTCTGCGCGACGACCTGAAGAAGGCGGTGCTGTCCCGGCTTGACGAACGTGGTGGTGTGAGTGGTGGTGCGGTCCGCTGGACTGACCTGTATCGCGATGTGAGCGAGCAGAGCGATAACAAAATCGACCACAACCAGTTCAGTGATGTGGTGCGCTCGCTGGAGACGGAGGGCTCAGTTAATGTCTTCGGTGAGGGTGCTCGTCGTAGTATCCGCCGGGCGGCCATGAGCATGTCCTAGGTGGCTGCGGATGATACCATGATGTGATGATAGATTAGGCTGCATGTCATCTCTGACTGAGGGTGTTCTGGCGTTTGTGCTTTTTATGGATAATGCTATGGGATTCGGTCCGAGAACTGTATATTGTCCGGAGTAGATTTGATCATAATATTTTCAATCTCATCAATTCTCCGAAGTTGCTGCGTCTGTTAGAAACTAAGACTTGAAGCTAAGACACATGTGGGAAGGTGAGAAACGACATGCATCTGGCTAGACCCAACACGTTGAAAGCCCCGGGTGGGGATCTTCCAGATGGCGCCTTATATACCAGCCCACCTGCGACAAGCATTGAGGCAAAGAGAGATAAGGGAGTTTGGGATTGGAATGATAGTTGATTCTTGGATTGTCTCATAATACTGATATAGAATAGAATAGGATAGAATAACATAGTATAATGAAGATTGGAAGATCAAGGTAAACGGAGATAAACATGTAGAGTAGAGAGGAGACAAGAGAGACACAAGAGACAGAGCACAGAGACTAACTGCCCACGTGCGCCCACGACTGGTCAAATTGTCAACGTCACCAAGGGGGTGTATGTATGGATACAAAATTACCATACCAAAATTACCACTGTACATCGTGATCGCCATGAGGATTTGCCTGATAATCGCCAATATACAGCCATCCGAGGAATAAACAAACCCACTAGACCTAAATAAGATACTTTTAATGCCCCTGTTCAGCTATCTGACAAGTTAAAATCCCCTAATTCAACCCGATTTAGAGCTTACTGCACTCCGTTACCACCTGGATTAGCATCGCACCCACTTCGATGAGAGGATGGGGCCGTCACCCGCTAGTCATCGCACTAGCCGAGTTCGGGGATAACCTCTTTGCCTTCTTGTCGGAGAGCTAAGAACCCTCCGAATTTGGCATCCCTTCCCTCGGGATATTTTTCTTTTCTCTTTTCTTTTTCTCGTCATGAGCCTGGGATAAATCAGACTTCCTCACATCTCTCCCTGCCCACAATGAGGTATGTAACTATCTGATTTAGCCATTCCATTCCCCGCGCCACCGACGTACCGTACTGACCCAATCGTTCCACAGGTTCGGCGAATATCTCCGGTCTTCCATGATCAAGGAATTCTACCCTTACTACATTGCCTACGATGAACTGAAGAAAGCTCTGAAGACCGATTTCGTCGACGAGCCAACCGCCGATAACACCAAGCCCGCCCGTAAGGAATGGACCGAGGACGATGAGACACGCTTCGTCTCCTTGCTTGAGAGTGAGCTAGAGAAGGTCTTCCTATTCCAGAAGCGCAAGAGTGAGGAGATTGTCGCCCGCATTCAAGAAAGCGAGCTCGAGGTGAACGATGTCGTCTCCCGTCTGGACAGCTCGACCGATTCCCATCGCCAGAGTATTCGAACTTCTCGCCCCCCACCCACCGATGCGAACTTCTTAATGCTGGAGCAGGTGCTCAGTGATATTATTGCCGACGTTCATGACTTGGCCAAATTCACTCAATTGAACTACACGGGTTTCCAGAAGATCCTCAAGAAGCATGACGTATGTCTCCCTTTCCAATTTCCGAGTCGGGTTCAATCCGCTAACAATCGCACAGAAAGAAACCCAATGGTACCTCAAGCCGGTTTTCGCGACACGTCTGAAGGCCAAGCCTTTCTTCAAGGATAACTACGACGCTTTCGTGGTTAAACTATCCAAGCTGTATGACCTGGTCCGGACCAAGGGTCACCCGGTCAAAGGTGATGCATCTGCCGGTGGCACTCAACAAAACTTTGTGCGTCAGACAACAAAGTATTGGGTGCACCGGGATAATATTACGGAGTTGAAGCTGGTGATCTTGAAGCACCTGCCAGTGTTGGTCTTCAATGCCAGCAAGGAGTTCGAGGAGAAGGACACGGCCATCTCCTCTATCTACTTTGACAACACCGACACCTGGGAACTGTACCAGGGTCGTCTGAAGAAAACTGAAGGCGCCGAGGCAATTCGGCTGCGTTGGTACGGTGGGATGGAAAGTGACCAGATTTTCGTGGAGCGCAAAACCCACCGCGAGGACTGGACGGGAGAGAAGTCCGTCAAGGCGCGTTTCGTGCTCAAGGAGAAGCACGTCAATGCCTATCTCGAGGGCCGGATGACGGTTGAGCAGATCTTTGACAAGATGCGCAAGGAGGGTAAAAAGAGCCCGGCGGAGATTGATGATTTGGAGCAACTAGCCCGCGAGATTCAATACCGCGTCATTACTCGCCGATTGGTCCCTGTCACCCGTACATTCTACCACCGCACTGCATTCCAGCTGCCAGGTGATGCGCGTGTTCGAATCTCTCTTGACACGGAGCTGACCATGATCCGAGAGGATAACATGGATGGCCGCCAACGGTCTGGGAAGAACTGGCGCCGTATGGATATCGGAGTCGACTTCCCATTCTCCCAGCTGCCTCCCGAGGATATCGACCGATTCCCCTATGCCGTGCTGGAGGTGAAGCTGCAGACCCAGGCAGGCCAGGAACCTCCCCAGTGGATTCGGGATTTGACTGCCAGTCACTTGGTGGAGGCAGTGCCGAAATTCAGCAAGTTCATACACGGAACAGCGACCATGTTCCCTACTCGCATCGATCTGCTTCCATTCTGGTTCCCCCAGATGGGTGTAGACATCCGCAAACCCGCCACTCGCCAATTCGGTATCCACCGACCGCTGGCGAGTACCTCGATCTCCGCCAATGATGAAGATTCGGATGATGACGAAACTCCGGTTACGGAAGAAAGCCCGCTGGATGAACATGCCACCGAGCACCATAACGGATTGTTTGAGACCAATGGCAACGAACTGGATATCGAAGAGCGCGTCGCCGCCCAGCCCCTGCCTGGCGACGAAGACTACCCATTGTACGACTCGGACGACGAATCGGTATATTCGGACGAACTTGAAGAAGCTCGTCGCATAGGGGGGAGCGTACTACGCGCAGAAATTGGCCAAACACTACCTCTATCGAGCTGGTCACGCTGTCGCACAGGGTCTCATGGCGATAATCCCCCGTCCCGTTCCAACATCCCTGCCTCCCCCCGAACAGCGTGGCATCGCTGTTTTGGGTAACCAACGACGCACGCTACAGCAATTCCAGGCTCCCCCTGGCAAACGTAAGTCACTTCCATGCATTCCGTGCACCAATCACCCAAACTAACGATTTCTCAAAAAATAGGCATCTTCGTTCCCGTCCGCGTGGAACCGAAAGTCTACTTCGCCGCCGAGCGAACCTTCCTCTCCTGGTTAGAATTCTCCATCATCCTCGGCGGAATCGCCGCAGCTCTTCTTAACTTCGGCACTGAATCTGCCACCCTCATCTCCTCCTGGGCCTTCACCATCCTCGCCGCTGGCGCCCTCGTGTACAGTCTCTTCCTGTACATCTGGCGCGTCGACAAGATCCGCAAGCGCCGCGATGTCAAGCGCGTCTACTACGAGCGCTGGGGTCCGACGGTAGTCGGCCTCGGACTTGTCATTATCATCCTGCTTAACTTTGGGCTGCGCGTGCGCGAAGGCGGGTTTATGGCTGCGCCGGGATCGGAGGGTGAGCCTCGGCATGGCGGACACGGTGAGTTGTAGAAATCTTTGTTTGAAAAAGAAGAACTGAGCCGTTCTCTTTATTTATTTTTGGGGGGTTGACCACCTTCTCCACTGCTCATGGCGACTCTTATGTTTGTATCTATTGGTGGCGTTTGGGCTGGGGCGTTGGGGGATTGTAAATCATGTACAAACCGCATACATGTCATTGCAAATAGTATGAGAATGGCACTTGATTACTGCCTACCTATTTGTTTTTCTGCCTTGTATATGTTGTAGATCTAGAGATAGTAGATAGTGAAGATACTTACGACCGAATTTTAAAGAGTATTCTGGTGAGGAAGATCTGTTACATTCAACATCACTAAGGATAAGATACATCATCTTCACAATAAGACTCAGACTGAGAGGATGAATTCAGAAAAACATCTTCGAAAAGGTTCCCAAACGGGAACGAGAAAGGAAACGCCATCCCCATACCGTCCTGCGGAACCTGATCAAATAACCCCCCCAGTGGAATCCATACTACCAAGATTGCCTTCGTTATCAAGTTGACGAGGACCATTCTGCACCGAGGATCCTGTTCCCGTACACTCCGGTACCCCCGCATCCTGTGTCTGCCCACCTGCAGAGTGTCGCCTAAGCATGGATTCATAAATCGGATAGTAGGCCGCAACAACCGGGAACCGATCTTGCAACTTGTCAAGTATGAGCATGCAGAAGCGGGCGCGATGCTGTGAGATCATTCGGACGCCGGTATCTCCTCTGAGTATGTTGACGATGTAGATCGAGAGCACCGACAGCACGGGCGCAAGTCTAGAAATGATTTAGCAGGACCATCCGGGGATATTTGGGACAGGTTATTATTGGGGGACGTACATGCTAGCTGCGGCTGCGTATAGAAGATCGTTTGCCATGAGTATTTCGAGCATGTGGGAGATCTCTGTACATATCTCGAATGTTGGACTGTCTGGTCCGATGTTGAGAGAGAACCTTGGGTTGCTCCGGTGCAGAATTAGTCGGTATTCCCTGTATATTCGATCAGAATGGAGAGCTTCTGGAGAGTCATTTGGAAGTCAACTTACTGGTATAATATATGAGTTAATATAGCCCACTTGCTGCTATTCGTTGACAACGACTTGAATTCCGGTGGGAGGGATTCAGAGCACAAGGAAATCTGCTCTAAACAGATATCTTGTGAATGACCACTGTCTTCGTCGAATTTAATAGTGAAGAAGCGATCAACTGTAATATGCGTTAGCAAGGAAGTACATTTAGGAACGGAATGATGGATGTTGAACCTGTTCGAGCTAGTTGCACAGCATTTATCGCGAAGGTATTTGCCTCATTGACTTCTGTCTCTTGGGACCCGCTGACTTGTTCAAAATCAGCTTCCGACAGAGGGGGGACATTGCACAGTCTTCCCTGTACATGTGGAGGACGATCGAGAAGCATAGACAGATTTATGTTCATGGCCTGGGGTAGGAAGTCAGTCCAGTAATAGGACCTGGGGCTTGGGCAATAACCGACATATACCATCCACCACAATCTTCGCCATAATTTTCGGTCTTTCTCTTCGAGACGGATATATGACTTTCTACAACACTGGTTAGTTGCCCTTAGTTTATGTTAAGAGGGATGAGTATACCCACGTCTGATGCAGTCCTAAAGCCTGTGCCATTCCCACAGAGATACCAACCCAATACCAAGGGTCTTGGTGTTCTAGAAGGCCATTCCACCAATAGCACATAAGAAACGTGGCTTGGATCGTCACGATAGCATCTGTTTCATAACCAGCATCATAAAGAGATTTGGCTCTCTGGTAAAAGGTGAGGCTTGCAGCGTACCGGGACACAAATCCGGCATTAGCAATGACGGAATCCGAACAGTATATAGTGGCAGCGAGGTAGATAGCATTCAAGAGCAAGTGTGAAAATTTGCCTTCCTCGAGACTGACAAGGAATCTGGACCTATCAAGAATAGGCAGTGCAGCAAGTGAAAAATGGAAGTAAGCGTCAAGAAGGGCCTGACTGGTCTCTTGTGACGGGAGATCGAAGGCGCCTTGGTTCTTAAGGCGTTCAATGGTAGATATGTGAAGCCTTTCAATTTCCTGCGTCGTCGGCTTACCCAACCGGGCCAGCATTGCCGCGTGGAGGTGGTCCTGGAGTGGGCTGACGTCCGTCGTGCCCCCGAAGGGATTCCCAAATTGTTGGACCAGGTAATTGAGATTAAAAGAATCTCCAACATATGGAGTTTTGCCGCTTGGTCCAAGTGCTGGGAAACATGGCTCTTGTTGTGGCTTATCTCTATTGTTTTGGGAATGAGTGGCCAGAGATGGGGTTGAACTCGTTATTCCTTCATGCCGTACACTGCGAGAGGTCTCTATAAGTCCCCCACTTGAGTCTCCATCAGTGGGTAGGAGAGGAAGCTTTCGTTTCCTAAATTCGAATTAGTCTTAACACGATGGCTTATGTCCTTTTGAATCCTACCGTCCACGGCGAGATACAATCAGCTCACATTGGCGCCGGGCATTCCGGCAATTGGAACACGCGACGCCTTCACTGCGGTCACATTTGACTCGCCGGTCATGACACAGACGACAGGCGACTTTCACTGGATTGCTGCGCGGCATTTAATAATTGTGAAAGGCGTTGGTTTGATTGTAGTAAGTTCGGCGTCTTGATTTCGGCGACTTGAGTTAAGCATGGACCCACCAAGTCGCCGAATTTAGACTGCTCTGATTGGCTGCAGTCCGAGTATCTGCGTTTTCATTGGATGCTCAACACTAGCAGTTGGCAAATTACTATAAGTTCACTAAGGGGGAAGAGAAGTTGGAGAAGTTGCTGATTCTATCTTTTACACTTGATTTCTTGAGCTAGCAGAATACCCAGACTAGCTGGCGATGATGCTTTTGAATACAACCTCTCAAAGCATCCTCCGTCGCTCAAATCCAAAGCAATGGTCATGTTTCTTGCCCACCATCGCAACGACGCGATACCTACGCACATCTTCAGAACCTAGCAGCTCTACATCTACACCCCTGCCATTCAAAAGTGAAAAAGATGGAGCGTCGGGGTATCTTCTGTACGTTCAATACTGAATACGTGAACCGATTGGTTTAGTTCTAACAATTCCCTGCCACTAGGGCAAAGGCAGATCAATTGGTGAACTGGGGAAGACAAGGATCCCTTTGGCCCTTATCCTTTGGACTAGCCTGCTGTGGAATCGAGATGATGCACACCTCAATGCCGCGCTACGATCAGGATCGACTGGGCATTATTTTCCGTGCCTCGCCACGACAGGCAGATGTCATGATTGTGGCCGGTACGGTAGTCAACAAGATGGCACCGGCAGTGAGACAACTCTATGACCAGATGCCCGAGCCTAAATGGGTGATTAGCATGGGCAGTTGTGCCAACGGCGAGGAGGATATTACCACTACAGCTACAATGTTGTACGTGGTGTGGACCGCATCGTGCCTGTGGATATTTATGTGCCTGGATGTCCACCAACTGCGGAGGCCCTTTTGCAGGGTATTTTCCTTCTCCAGAAGAAGATGCGGAGGACGCAGGTGACGAGGATGTGGTATAGGCGCTAAGCGAAGATTGAATTCGGGGTATATCATAACGAAATCCAATGCTGCCAAAGCCATGGAAGCTATGCGGAAATAACGCTCCTACCTATGCAAAATGCCAAAATCCGTGATATTCATTCCTCAACCTCGATCTGCATCTCCCGCTCTAGTAGATAATGCCAGTCAGTATGTCTCTGCGGCAGATTCTTCACAAAGTACAACATACCCCTGATTTTGATAGCATGCGCAATGATCGTCTCAGCCTTAGCCAACAATTTCGCGGTGTACCTCTCTGCCTCTGTCGGATAGAGCTGGCTTTTCTGCGCTTTGCGAGGATTGGCCTAAACACATTAGAGACGTGTTAGTAGATGACCACACATATAGTTTCATGGCAAAAGAACCCAAAAACCCAAAAGACCCACCATCATAAGAACAGGAACCAAATCCTTCGGCTCAGCCTCCGCCAAAGCTCTCAGATTCTTAAACCCATTATCCCTCAGCAAACGCGCCGTCCAACTCTTGACAAATGTAACCTGGGCCATCTCCAGAAGATCTGCGCGCGCGCCAGCCTCAAGTCTATCGCGCATATGATCCAAGACGGCAGCCATCATGCCCCAGTTCATGCGCTGGCAGAATTTGACGATGCCGGCGGCGAAGCCGTGGCACTGCTGTGCCAAGGTTTGGACTGTACCGCGGGGGATTTTGTAGCGTTGGGCTATTGTTGATAGGGGGACTTCGTTGCTGAGATCGCGGAGTTGGAAGGCTGTGTAGGTGCGGCGGTAAATGCGAGCTTGTTTTATTTGGGCTGGGGTCGTTTCTTTTAGAGAGGCGCCTGACTGGACCCTAGTGGATAGGGTGTTAGTTTGGGTTTGGGGCTGGGTTGGACTAGAATATGTCTGTGGGATTGTGTGGATATCATATGTATAGGGGGGATGGAGTAGGGAGGGATAAGACGTACATTGTGTTGACGAAACCTGGTTGAACTCCGACGAATTGTAGAGCCCGGAGACCGCTCTCATCCAGCCGATCTAGTTGATCGCGGAAGATTTGCCAGTCGATGGGTGTGTTCATGGCTGCTTGGAGCGGCGTGAACATGTAGAATATGTGCATGTCACCGTCCATGACGAAGGCCTGTAATGCTCGCTTCAACTCTTCGTGAACGAATAGGCCATCTTCGGGTGAAAAAGCCGAGGCCACGACTGCCTGTCCTAATGGTGTGGCTTCGTAGGATTCGTCGTCTCGGAAAATGAGAAGTTCTTCGTCAACCAGTTCTTCGAGGCCGGATTTCATGATGGTGTATGCGATCTTCTTGTCCAATGTGCGGTAAAGAAGCGTGCACCGAACATATTCTTTGATCGCCTCGCAACCGGATACCAATCCCGTTGCCACGGCTTCGAGTAAAGCCCTTTGGGATGTGAGCTAATGATTCGGGAACAATAAACAGTTGGATGAGAAATACATACCGCTTGAGACCCCTTTTTTCCGGGGCCAGGCAGCTTTCAATAGCTGGCATATCAGCGTCCAACAGATCGCAGACAGCCTGCAAATCGGCTTTCACGCAGATGAGATAGGTTTCGCCGGCATTATCCTTGCCTTTGCGGCCAGCACGACCGCACATTTGACGGCTGTTTTTGTCAGCATATACTCCTCACTCCAGGAAGGCAGCACCTACAGCATAGCCGGACCAACTAGTTCACGGCCCATGCGCGCACCGTTGATGATAACCCGTCTCGCCGGGAGGTTTACGCCAGCGGCAAGACTGCATGTGGCCACGAGGACTTTGAGCACACCCTGGTCATAGGCCTGTGCAATTAGCTCCCGCTCTTCGGTGGTCATGCCAGCATCTAAATGATTATTAGTAAGTGTGGACGCTCTATCATGAATGTCGGAATACTAACTGTGAAATCCTGTCCCTTTGATTATTGTTGCCTCCAAAGCCGGGTCCAGCCCACAAGCGAGGCTCCGCAGCTCTGCCAGAAGGTCGAGTCGCTTGCTCAACTCTTCCGGCTCCGCTGGCGGCATCGCTTCACCGATAGTCGCAGCATGAATCTGGCATGCATTACGGCTACTACAAAACACCAATGATCCAAACCCAGCGGCTGCAGTTTCGACCGCTAACGCTACCATGGCATTTGTGGCGGAGTTGCTGAGTTGCTTGAAGGTAGAAGGTTCAATGATTCTGTGGGGAGAAATGGTGTCTTGTAGAGATGCTGCTGCAGTCAGCTTGGATGCCGTTTGGAACAATTGCCGCGAGGTCGCAGCTGGATAGATTCCGTTCTCGTAAACCAAGTATTCATCAATGGGAATTGGTCTGTATGTGGAGATGTAGAACTTTGCGTTCATCCATTGTGCTAGCATCTCGGTGTTCTGTTATTCGTTAGAGCAGTCTCTCACCACAGGATTGGGCCATAGACTCACGGAAAGCGTGGCACTCATTCCAACAATCTGGATATCCTGCTGTAGTAACAGCAACTTGGTGACCATCAATTCCAAGAGGTAACCCCGGTGTTCGTCATCGAGCATATGTAACTCATCAAGAACCACGACTCCCAAGTCTCCAATGTTACACTCTTCGATCGCGGTGTTTATCAACGAGTTTGCCTAAGAAGAGAAATATCAGAACCCTGCAATCACCACTGAATGTCAAGCGTGCACACCTTCTCTATCGTACAAACCGCAATATCAGTATCAGCCCAAGTGGCAGTCGTCCGACTTCCTCCAAAGAAGCCCGTCACTCTGATGTTCTTCTGCAATTTCTTCCATCGCCTGCGAGGGAATCTGGAATCATCTTCGTCATAATCCGGGATATTCTTTTCCACATCTTGCACAATACGACGCATCCACTTGAGCTTCTCCTGAACCAAGGCAACATAAGGCAAAACCAACAGCGCTTTACGCCCTGGGTTTTCGATGATGCGCTTCAAAAGTAGAACATCGGCAACAAGGGACTTGCCACCGCCCGTCGGGGCCGTGTAAACCAAATGACGTTCACCAGACAGCAAGCCCCTAGCCAGCAAACACGACGCTTGCCACGGGTAAATATTTCTAACACCGAGTGCGGCAAAATTGGCCGTGAGGGCAGGCGGCAGGCCATATTTTGGATTAGACAGGGAGAGCAGGGGATTCTGACTGGAAGGTGGGGCAGTCGATGCAGCCACGGCCTTTTGAGGATCATCCGGGGTTGGCTCCGTGCCCGCGCCCGCGCCCAGAAGAACCTTGCTGGCGGTAAAACGATGGACAGGGGCGGTTAGCAGATCTCGGGCAGTCTCCAGCGGTGCTGATTCCAATATGGTGTCTGGATTGACATTTTGGCGAGGGAAAGTAGCTTGTTTTACGACTGGGCCGAGTGAGATATTGGGAACTTGCTCTGTGGGCTCTGTCGGGGTCGCTTTTGTCCTGCCACGGGCGCTACGTGATACGCTTGTCGACGGGCGATATCAATGGATGTCTGGAACCCGTGAGACTGGACTCCCGATGTCGACATGCCTGAAACACAGTTCGGCCCATTCGTCTGGGGAGGGGAATAAAACCGAGGATTTAATCAAAATTGGCCATCTTTTTGAATTTGGAATGTTTGATTTTTAATATTTTGATGTTTGATGTTTCCCCATGTTGTTGTTTTATCTACGCTTACTACAATATTATTGCCTGAGGCATTATAGATTATATCAGCAATTATGTCATCCACTCAGATCCCCAGGGCCTCGGGGCCTGTCTTTAATTTGATGTTCCTTAGAGACATGATCGCTGCGTTTTCAATAGTGTGCGTTTTGCGGGATTATTACTCTTATTGCATGCTTGCATCCCCCCCATGCTCTGCATGATTGAACTGTAGTCCCGATATGGCAACCCTGGAGTCCCTTGCTGGGGGACTAAACCAACCTTGTACGGGATCGTACCTATTTTGTAGGTACTTATGTGGAGGCTGTGGAGGCTGTTCTTCCAAGCCCTGTAGCCCTGTAGCCCTGTAGCCCTGATTATTGTGTAGAAACGCACAATAAATAAAAGCCGAGATTCGTACCTCGCCCCATGTTAATGCCTAGAAACGATTGGCGCAATTCCGTCCAATCTCGTGTGTCGTCGGAGCCGAGAGGGTCGGCTGACGATCTGGGGCCAACGGTGATGGATTTGCCTCGCGGCTAGAAGACATCGTGGCAAACTCGGAACCTACAACATCGAACACCTCTGCATTCACGTACTCCGTACATGTGGACTTATGTTGACTCGCACTTGGGGAAAATGAAAGCAAATTGGCTAGGCCAAAAAAGAAGAAATTTCCAAAATTTCCAAATTTAGGTGCCCATCCCGAGACCAGGTACAGACTGAGACCCCAATCGGGGTGGAGGCGTCATGACGACTGTATCATGAGTCGCGCGTACCACCCACCTTATGCATTAAGATTAGGAGGATTAGCAGTATTAGCACTAGCAAGATTGTGAGGTTTCCGTATGCATCGTGATAACACGGAATTCAGTCACCATGCATGGAATGTGATATATATCCCGATCTGTATTCTTATTTCTCCATCTCCCCTGAAAAAGAAAAAAAAAAAGGATTGCAAACGTTTCAAGTCAGGTTTAATACGAAGAGAGAACACGTTTCAAGCCAATGGTAAAGGTTATGAATGTAATTGTCGGGATGGTTTGGATCTGTTGTCCCTCGGAGGTCTGATCGCCGTATATATCTCCCAGATATACACCTGATCTCACCTCAACCCTAGATCAATTCATACTCCATATACACTCCGTCCACACATAGACAGGTTATATCCTGATTCCATACTCCATAAACCTTGGAAATTACCTGGGCCCATGGGTGGATTTCCCAACGGAGTAGACCGGCACGTTATACCCAGTTCAGACCTTCACAGTCTTCGGCCAGTTCTCGGCGGCATCGATCGTCATTGGAGAGAAGTTTAAATTACCTACTCCGTATATGATTAAGATACTCTGCTACTCTGCTACTCTGCTCTTGCTAATTCATAGACCCTCGATATCCGACGCGCCTAAGGACCTATAGTATTCTATCCTTATAGACTCTCCCCCTTTTGCCTCTCCCGAGATTCGTAGCCAATGTGTGTTTGGTCGCACAGGATCAGGCGAACGGGGAAAAAATCACAAAATAGCAAATAGCCCAAAAGGTACTACTCATGTATCTGGTAATTTTTTCCAATATCAACAGAAGAAGGATAAACCACATATGTGCATATAACATCTAGTATTGTCTCTTCCCTTTGAAGATATGATTATACACGTTCCCGCATACCAGCATTCCTCTACATGAACTCCGTCTGATAGAAAATATTAAGTAGATCGAGCAAGGGAGGTCCAAAAGAGGTTTTGGTTCCCATGTCCTTAGGGATCCGTCATATTAACATATTGGGACTAGGGGCCAGGTCGGGATCCTCGACTCTTCTCTTCTCTTTTTTCCCTTTCCTTCTCTTCCCCTTCCCCATTCCCCGTTGGGCTATATCGTCTTTTTTTCCCGCTAAATAACTTTTGACCCGCTTCTCCCGACCCATATCCTCATATCCCTCATATCCCTCCACTCTATCTACTGTTCTCTTTCTCTCTCCTCTCTATTCTTCTATTCTTCTACTCTCCCATTCTCCCATTTTTCCATTCTCCCCTTATTCATTTCATCCCTATTTCTATTTCTATTCATTGTAAGTCCTCTATTCTACTATCTCATTATTCCCTTCCCCTTCCAATATTGCAGCTCTATTGTCAACTCCCCTATCAATGTTCTCTCGGATGGTTCTTGATATCGGAACGCCCTTCACCCCTGCAGAGAAATAAGATCTGACACGGTCCACTCTTTGTCTTTCCCACTTTTTCTTTCGGTTTTCCCCTTCGCAACTCCCTGAAGTTCTTCGCGTGTACCCGCTGAAATCCCAATATCTGCCCACTCTTGTATTTTTTGCCATTTTCTTCCTTTTGCTTTCTCCCTTTTTCTAAAGTTCCAAGGCTACCGGGTTCCCACTAATCACCCGCCACAGCTCTCCCTGGGCTTTATATTTCTATCACGTTCACTCTTCATTTGCCGGTGGATGACTAAGGAACTCACTCAATGACCACTCCCAACTCTCCGGAGGCAGTGGCCGATTCGGCTAACGGCTCCGCCACCGCGTATGGCACGCGATCGAGAGGTCGGAATGCCCCTCGGCCAAATTACGCGGAGGACCGTGACCTGGACGCGGACATTGATCTCTCCGCGCCAAACTCAAAGTCAGCCAAAAGAAATAGCGGCACACCCAACAACGCCAACGGCGCTAATCTCGATGAGAAGACCTCGTCGGCGCCACGTAAGAGCCTGAGCAATGGCCAGAACGCAAATGGAGCAAAAGATTCTATTCCTGGCACCTCTTCATTTTCCGCCAGACCGGATGATGTGAATGGATCTAATTTGAGAAAACGCAAACAACCCGCCAGCACGCCAAGCTCAACTCCCAACTCGGGCGGTGCGGTGAAGAAGATATTTACCTCCCCTCCAGGCGATTCCGAGGGGGGGGATTTCACCAATATGGTGAGCTTCGAAAACTCGGGGCCCTATCTGAAAGATGGCCAATTAATAGCCGATGATGGCACCACTTTTGCCCTCAATGGTTAGCCCCCCCCCCCCACTTCAAAGTGGTTGTTATGACACTAAACTTCTTTTTTGTATAGACCATGTTTATTTAATTTGCGAACCTCCGGGTGAGCCATATTATCTAGCCCGCATCATGGAATTTCTTCCATCCAAAACCAAGCCGGGTGGCTTCATTGAGGCTATGAGAGTCAACTGGTATTATCGCCCACGAGATATTCAGCGCCATTCTCCAGACACTCGGTTTCTGTTTGCTTCAATGCACTCCGACACCTGCCCTCTTTCTTCACTACGGGGCAAGTGTGATATTCGGCATGTGTCAGAGATCGAGGACCTTAGTGCTTATAAGAAGACGAGAAACTGTTTCTGGTATGACAAAATGTTCGACCGGTATATCCAGCGTCTTTACGATGTCATTCCGACTAAAGATATCATTAATGTTCCGGGGAACGTCAAGAAGGTTCTCGACGAACGCTGGAGATTCATTCTTGTTGAGATCGGCAAGGGAAAAGAATTGACGGGTGCCGTCAAGACTTGCAAACGATGCTGTTTGTACGCTGCACACAACGAATCAGTTGACTGTGCAGTTTGCAATTCAACATATCACATGCATTGTGTACGGCCCGCCTTGACCAAGAAACCGGCTCGAGGCTTTGCTTGGGCTTGTGCCGCTTGCAGTCGCGCCCAGGAGCGCAAGCTCGAAGCACGCAACACACCATTAACTGGCAGCATCCGAACCGATGGCGAGGATGTGATAATGGAAGAAGAGGAGGAAGAGGATCCTAATCATGCGAATGGTACAGCAAATGGTACCTCTGTCAGCACCCCAGGAGCCGAGGAAAATTCCATGCCTCAGCCCGCAACCGCGGAACAGATCGCACACGCTAAAATGTGGCCTTACCGGTACCTGGGTATTCACTGCCGCGTGGAGGATGCTCTTGACTACGATGATCGAATTTATCCCCGAGCTAGCTCACGTCTCAGGAACTCGACACCAGGCGATGGTCCCCCCCTGGCCAGGCCGCGCTGTAGAATACGTGAAGCCACTTGATGCGAAGAAGAAATCAAAAAAGGACGGCAAACTCTCCAAGGATGCGCAGGCAGCAATGGAAGCTGCAAAGCACGAAAGGGCAAACCGACCGAAGTGGGTTCAAGATGAGCCAACGGGCTATGTGCATCGTGGTCTGGATGAACCGGTCGCAATCAATGGAAAACAGGCGCGCACAGCCGAACTTCAATTCAAAATGCCCACTGCTGATCAGATCCCCGCCCGCGGCGAAGATGATGCACCTGGCTCTCATTTGAGCGATGCGGATCGAGAAAAGTTCATCGACGACTACATGCGCCAAGCCAAGGAACTGGCCCCTGCTATTGGAGTTGAGAAATACTCCACGAATTTCCTCGACAGAGCCCTTGCACTTCTTTACTCTGAGAACTTCGATGTCCAGGCTGCCCTTGCTAAGCTGAAGAAAACCAACAAGTACAAGGATCTTAAAGAGCCCCACATTCGGCCAGAGGAGCTCAAGCTATTCGAACAAGGTGTCGCCAAATATGGATCCGAATGGCGCAATATCATGAAGCACGTCAAGACTGTCCCTATCTATCAGATCGTCCGTTTCTACTACATGTGGAAGAAAACCCCCCAGTGGTCGGAAGATTTGGGGCAGTTATGAAGGCAGACGTGGCAAGAAGGAGGTTCGCCGCCACAGTGTAGTTTCATCTAAACTACTTGATGATGTGGCCGATGATCATGATGATTCCGCCTTTGACTCCGAGAAAGCCGTTGTCCAGAAGCGTGGATTCCATTGCAAGTTCTGCTCCACCCGCCATTCGCGACAGTGGCGCCGTGCACCTCTAGTTCCACCAGGCACCGTTATTCCGTCTGAGCCGTCAAACAAGAAAGACAAGGGCCCTATGCTGACCGTTGCGCTTTGTCTTCGCTGTGCTTTGCTATGGCGGAAATACGGGATCCAATACGAGGATGTTGACGAGCTTGCAAAGAGGCTCGCAAGCAGCGGTAACAAGTCATGGCGACGCCGCATCGACGAGGAAATGCTCGCGCAACTGATTGTAGCTACCGAAACCCCGTTCGTGATCACACCGGCTACGGCAACTACGGCTACCGCGATGGGAATTCCGCTTGATACAAACCCTCGACTTTTGATGGAAGGAAAGGCAGAACCAAAAGTGGAAGGCAAGGTGGACCCGACGAAAAAGAAGGTCAAGGAAACCCCCGCACCTTCAACTGCGACATCTGTGGAACCTATGCCGAAGAAGAAGACAGTCCCCGAGAAAGTCGTGGAAGCTCCACCGATTGTTCCCGACCCGCCAAAGGCCAAGACTCTCCCTTGTTCAATCTGCAACCAAGTTGAACCTTCGGGCGAAGAGCATCTTTCGTGTCGGGATTGCCGTCTTACGGTCCATCGCAATTGCTATGGTGTACGAGATTCGCGCCCCGGCAACAAATGGCTGTGTGATATGTGCTCCAACGACCGCACTCCCTCGATTTCTACAAACTACACATGCGTTCTTTGCCCAGTCTCATGGACCGAGCACGACCTTATGGAAACGCCCAAGAGCAACTCCCGGAAGAAGACTGAGCGCGACAAGGAAAAGGAGCGCATGGAGAAGGAGATGGTGGCCGAGGCGATCAAGCTCTATCGCCAGCGGCAGGAGGCCGTTGGCAAGCCTGTTGGTCCTCGGGAACCCCTGAAGCGTACTGCAGGCAACAACTGGGCCCACGTGCTTTGCACCTTGTGGACCCCGGAGTTGAAATACGGCGATGCAGAGGAGCTTGAGCCTGCGGAAGGATTCGGATCTATTCCCATGGAGCGGTGGCGCGAGACGTGCAAGGTCTGCAAGTCAAGTAAGGGCGCATGCGTTCCATGTAGCTTTGCTGGCTGCAATGCTCACTTCCACGTGGGCTGTGCTTTCCAAGCACACTACCGGTTCGGCTTTGATATCACGCCCGTCAAGAGCTCGCGCCGCGACAGCATGCGAGCTATCCGTCTAGGCGAAGATGTTGGAGCAGCGACACCTGCTGTTTACTGTCCAAACCACAACGTGCAGACTGTTCTGCACGCAATCGGTGAGCAGACAAACCAGGGCCATCTAAACGCTCTCCAATTATTCGCCCAGACCTACAAGCAGGCCGATCTTACCCTTACTGGAACCGTTCGCAAAGCGGCGTACTTGCATCAATCTGTTGGAGCCCCTCCACACCCTTCCACCAATGTGAACCGCCGGGTTTCGACGAGTACCACGCCAGCTTCGAAGGACATTCACAAAGTTCAACCAGTTTTAGAGGAGGTGGCTGAAGATCCTATGGACATTGATACTGACAACCATGTTGCACCGCGACCGGCTGCTCCTGGCGTGGAGACCAACCGTCAATGCGTCCGTTGTGCCACCGGCTTTAGTCCCAGGTGGTGGGCCATTGGGCGACGACCTCCTATGGTCAATGGCTCGGGGCTCCCCCATCATCCGCCTCAAGGTGCCTTCCCCCAACATAATGGAGATCCTTGCGAACTGGCATACGAATGTCATAAATGCCACTTGAAGAATCCGGCGCCTCCTCCCCCTCCGCCTGTGCCAGAGCCTACGCCCGACCAACGGCCTTCGCCTTACTCTGCTCAACGTCCCATGATACCCACTTCACGAATGCCCGCTCATGCAGGTCATGCGGGCCATGCAGGCCATGCATTTTTGCCGCACCCACATCCTCACCCACACCCGCATCCTCCTCCTAGCGGTGTGCTTGGGCGCCCGATGCCTCCTGCTCACCCACCCAGCGGACTCCCGGGACCAGGATACACTGGACCATACGAGCAACGTCATACGGCCGATATCGGTCTTCGCAACGGCATGTCGCCGTCTCCTTATCCCCCGACACAGCCACCTGCCCATCATATGAATAACTATCCGCCACCCCATCCCGCAGGACCACCACCTCAACACTATACCAGCGCTGGCCCTTCGGGACCGCCGCCGCCGCCGTATTCCACCCACCAGAGCCCATATGGCCCTGTGCCGGCCCGCTCGCCGCATCTTTCGCAGCCACCGCCGCGATCATATGCAGCATCTGCGTCCCCTCCAATCGTGCAAGCAACGATGGTCAACCGATCACCCCAGACCTCGCTGAGCGCTCTTAATGGTGGCCCACCTCCTCGCATGTACTCTGTCGAGCGTGTGGTAGCAGCCCCCTCTCACTCACCACCGGTGACGCAGGCACGTATGGATCCGCGGGCGCCAACCGCCACTCCTCCCACTCGACCGGAAGATACACCACCTTCTCTGATGGGCGGGCCACCAGGCAGTCGAAACCCCGGGGTCAATGGCACAGCGGCTGGGACCGGAGCGAGCGCAAGCCCATCGCTGAAGAACCTTCTCTCATAACGATATTCCCACACGAGTGCTCATAACCGTGTTGTATGATAGTGACCTATGTCCTTTCCCATTTGCTTTTACTGCTACTGCATATGCATGCCACGGCATCCCATGAACAAAAAGTGTGTTCGCGGTTGGGTTTTCGTTTCCTCCAGTGTTTTCTCTTTGTTATTCTCCTTTTCTTTTTTTTCTTTTTTTCTCCTTTCCCTTCCAGCCACCGGGGATCCCGAGCCTTTCTAGCCGGTCGATCCACCTGTCGGCCACCATCTTTCGCACTTTATGGTTTCTTCTTTTTCTTATGTGCTTGCTATTTTTCTGGCGTCTTGAATTACGGCACCTGGGAAAAGTCCGTGGAGTCTGTTACGGTTGGAGGGCTTGATATCGTCGAAAATCATGGATTGCATGGAGTAGGACTGGCCACTTTATGATTGATATTACCATTACCCATTATTTCCAGCTAGATGAATTGATTAGCATTGCTACGACCTACTTTTTCTGATTCTTTAGCACTCGTACATTACCCACTCGGCTGTCCGGCATGGATTATTGACCCTCTCAAGGTACAGTGGACCTCGGAAGCTGGCGATGCTGACAAATGCCGATCAAATTCCCAGATGAGGTCAGCTCGTCATAGGTAGGTAACTGGATCGCTGTTAGCATATAAGTAAAGGTATCTTCTGCAAATATTTGCCTAGAAAACACCCATTGTACACTGTACATATCATTCAAGATGAGCGACACCATGCGAGCTATCGGTAAGTGAACGCGGGGTTGAAGAACATCTCCCACCTGATATCATCTACATCTTTTGGAAGTATTGAGGATCATGAACCGATATCAACCCATTCGCCCTTCTCACTCTCTTTCCTCCATATTCGCACCTCAAACAGTTTACACAATGTGAACTCCAATACTAACAATCCCCAGGCATCAAAGGCGGCAAAGGCCCCGCAACAAGCCTCTTCATCGACCAGATCGCCAAGCCCACAGCTGCAGAAGGCCAAGCCATCGTCAAGATCCGGGCCTTCGGACTGAACCGCATGGATCTGCTTCAGCGCGAGGGTCTATACCCACTCCCACCCCAAGCACCCCCAACCATGGGCGTAGAGTTCTCGGGTGTGATCGAGAGCTTCGGACCAGACGGACACGAAGACTTCAAGATCGGAGATGAAGTGCTCGGACTGGCCTACGGTGGCGCCTACGCAGAGTACATCTCGGTCTCAACTCACATGCTAGTACACAAGCCGCAAGAGCTATCATGGGAAGAGGCAGCCGGAGTGCCGGAGGTGCGCACCGCAATACAATCGCCAACTAAAACGAACCCAGACTAACTGATCATTCCCGCAGACCTGGATCACAGCCTCGCAAGCGCTCTTCCTAATCGGCGAATTCCAATCAGGCCAAAGCGTCCTCTGGCACGCGGGCGCATCATCAGTCTCAATCTCCGGAATCCAGCTCGCCAAAGCCGCCGGCGCAAAAGCCATCTACGCAACAGCAGGCTCGCAAGAGAAAATCGACTTCCTAGAAAAAGAACTCGGCGTGACAAAAGCCTTCAACTACAAGACCCAGGACTGGGCCGCGGAGATCCAGTCCGCGACGTCTGGCGCGGGCGTCGACGTAACCGTCGACTTCATCGGCGCGACGTATTTCCAGGGTAATCTGGACGTGGCGGCGCGCGACAGTCGCATTGTCTTGCTGGGTCTTATGGGTGGCGGTAAGTTACCCGAGGGAGTAAACATTGCGCCGTTGCTGTATAAGCGTGTGCGGATTGAGGGGAGCACGCTGCGCAGTCGGGATCTGGAGTACCAGCGGAAATTGCGCGATACGCTTGTTGAGCATGCTTTGCCGCAGTTCTGTGATGGGACGTTTAAGGTTTTTGTGGAGAAGGTGTTTCCGTTTGAGAAGATTGAGGAGGCGCATAAGTTGCTTGAGAGTAACACTACTAAGGGGAAGATTATTTGTGTTTTCGAGTAGACGGGGAAATATATAACTGAGATATGTACTCCGTAGATATATTCCGGTTCCTTGGAAGCCAGTTATGTACATAATCTGATACATAGCCAAGAGATCGACAAAGTCGAGAACTCCACCTTTCCATTTGCAGAATTTAATATGCAGAAGTACCTCCAGGGCTATTATTGCAACTTAGTACTAATGCCATAAACTCCAGTTTCGAAAGTAACTAGGCGACATGCAGCTATCGCTACCTCATGTTGATTGGCTAGGGTTTCCCCAATCACATGGTAGCGATCAGCAAGTGAACCATGGGAGGATTGCAAGGAAATTAGGCAAGGCCATACCTACCTATCTAGGTAGGTACTAGAGGTATTACTAGAGCCATATTATCTATACACATAGTAACCTTGGAAATGTATGTAGATTTAGATTTATAGAATGAATATAATTAATACTCCGTAGAGAATAATAACGTGTCAATTAAAGGTGCATGCAATTGTCCTGCAGGTGATCCATTTCTGGAAGTGGAGAACCTCCATCGACTAATCAGCAGTCGATGAGATCACCTCGGATTATTTCAGATTTGGCCCCAAATGGGCCCAAACGTCCTATCCACTCGTTTTTCGCATCTTTTTTGCGATTCTGCAGTATTCGCCTGGGCATATTCTTTACATTATTTTGGTATATAAGATACGTATGTAAAATAAAATGTATATATGTGATATCACTATAACTACCTAGGTATTAACACTTATACGTCTATATCCATGGATATATCTAAATATCCTATGTTATCTATGCATCTAGCCCTGAAGACTGCATAGCCCCAGGTGTATTGTGTTACAGAATCTGCGCTGACTAACCCGCTGACCTTCTAGAAAAAAAAAAGAGGCGTCATTGGGTCCACTGGTTACGATTGGAGGCTCTGCCAGAAGAGATGGGTATATAAGTAGAAGAAAAGAAGATATAATATATAGATGATTATTCTATGATAGATAATAGCATATATATACAAACTGCAACTAACCAAATCCATCCATCGTATCCAATGTTAATATGTAACAAAATTAATACCCAACTAGTAAAGACTGTAACCACTAAGATTACCTGAGGATCATCCCGTCCCGCCCCAAGGCCTTCTGGAAGGAGGAAAGAAGCCCCTTCCCCGTGTTCGCCCCTCCACTGTCACTCAGCTTTGGGTGTATTTTGCTCTTTTGCTTCTTTATTTTCTCTTCTCTTTTCCCTTTTCATCTTTTCTTTGTTGATCTCACCGCTACACGCTATCTCCATTACACACACCATGTCGAACTGACGTCCTTTTCCCGCTTCTTCTCCCTTTCTGTTCTTTCACCAATTGAACCCCCTTCGTCCTCGACTCACGTGTCGCTTTCATCCCATCGCTCTTCCGAATCTGACTCCGGGGTGGAAAAAGTGGGTTGCGCGCTCGATCTGTTTAGTGCGACAAGTCTCAGGACAAGTCTAGGCTCTGGGGCTTGTCTCGGAACTTCCAGTCCACAACGCGACTCGGACTGCCTCGCTGCAGGAAACAACTCCATTGTTCGATTCGGTGAACTGAGAGCTTGCTTGCCGACTCCTGTCATTCCTTTTTCCGACTTTCTTTGTGCCGATTTAGTCGGATCTCTCCCGATCTCCCATAAACCCCCAACCTCGCCGCTCGTTTTTTCTTCACCTCCCAAAACCGCCCTCGTACCTTCCATCATCCCCCCAGCCGAACGCCTCGGTCTTCATCATCCGGGCCATATGCGAGTCAGGAGCGCACCGACCGACTCCTTTCCTATTCTGCGAACCGATTGAGTTCTTGTCGGTCTTGTGATCCCAGCCTGCTCGGGGGGTCGTTCCCAACCTCCTAGCACTATGGTGGACCGCGTGGATTGCGCGGGCCTCTTGATTGACGACCGAGTGCGGTCGGAGAGATGGGTGCGCAGAAATTCCATTGATGCATTAACGATATCGTCCTCAGGTTCCTTCACGACCCCAGAGGAGCCGGAGGCCTTACAGGCGGATGTGGAACAGCTGTTGTTAGTGTGCAAACAAGGTAGGTTCTGCAGACTGCGCTGCGTTTGATAATTTTACTAATTACTCCCGGTTTCGCAGTCTACCTCTGCCACAACGGTTCATCCTTCGCCACCAAGCTGGCCGAGCTCAGCGACCGGTCGGGCAGCGAGTGTAACCCGATTTTCGCATTCTTCGAGGTGGATTTTAGCGGCGAAGAGTCGAACCTGGCTCGTCGAAAAGCCAGTCGCGCCTCGTGGGCAGATAACGCTCCTCCGTCACCGGGCTCCATCCACCGCACTTTCACATTTTCGACACAGTCCGACGAAGCACGGGGCCTGTCCCTTCTATCGGGTGTCTCGAACGACATTCAAGCCCAAGAGGGACCAAATTTGGTCATTCCTATTGCTATTTTGCGCCTTCCTACTCCCGATACAACCGGCGACAACGCGGCCACCGGCCCTACCAGTCAACCAGATTCTCAAGGACCTCTCACGTTGGAACACAAGCAGATTGCGCGCTGTCTTGATGCCGGTGCTATGGATGTCTTGACGACTCCGCTAGATCGGTCACGCATTCAAGGGCTCGTGGTTCATGCCTACCGTACTCGCAAAGCGGCCCAGAGAGAGATGTCCCGATTCCTCGCACGGAGGAAGCAAAGAAAGCTTTCTTGGGTCGGTGTGCATGATGAGCAGCCATATTCTTATCTAAGAGAAGCCATGGTTTCAAAACTCATGAAAGGAATTTGCAACCCAGAAGAAGTCATCCATGATGAATTCCAGGAGCAGGATCTCAACATCGATCCCGCGCGTATCCCTTGTATCAAAGAGCAGGTGGGCAGTTGGAAGTTCTGCGCTCATGAATTTACCGAGGACGAACTAGTCTTTGGCGCTTGTGAGATGATACAACATGCTCTGAACATGCCGGGATTGGACCATTGGAGGTTGACCCCTGATGAATTGCAAACTTTCCTTCTCGCCTGTCGCGCCGCCTATAACTCTTTCGTGCTTTACCACAATTTCCGCCATGCGATTGATGTGCTGCAATCCGTCTTTTGCTTCCTGCTACACATTGGTGCCTTGCCCCCGTATGAATCCATTGGTCAATCTCCTGTCCCCGAAACTCCTATCACCTCCCTTCTCACGCCATTCGATGCCCTTACCCTCCTTATCTCAGCCATTGGTCACGACGTTGGCCACCCAGGTGTCAACAATTTTTTCCTTGTCAAACTCAACGCACCTCTGGCTCAACTTTACAATGACAATTCCGTCTTGGAGGCCTTCCACTGCGCCGCCTTCTCCCAGATTTTGCGTCGCCACTGGCCTGCGGCATTCAAGGACAATCAGCTGCGGAAGCTCCTTATCAGCTCTATCCTGGCCACCGACATGGGTGTGCATCAGAAGTTCATGCAGCGAATGGGCTCATTCCAAGAAAAGTTCTACGAAAACAACCGATCTATTGAGGGCTGGAAGCCGCAAGATGTCGACATGTACAAGACCCTCGTTTGTGGATTACTGATCAAATGTGCCGACATCAGCAACGTGGCTCGACCGTGGGAGGTTGCAAAGAAGTGGACGCAAATACTGCAAGAGGAATTCGCCAACCAGGGGAGATGGAAAGGGAGGTTGGAATGGAAACTGCACTGTTTGGCGGGCCACCCGAACTAGGGAACATCTACAAGCTGGCTACTGGTCAAATTGGATTCATGTCGATATTCGCACTGCCACTCTTTGAAGGCATTTCCGACCTTCTACCGCAGTTGCAGTTCACTACAGACCATATCCTCCGCAACCAGGCACGGTGGCAAGAACTTTCTAACGAGGAGCTGAAGAAGCAAGGTCTTCCGATTGAGAAACGGGCCGAGATCACTGTTTCGCCTCGCTCCCATAGCCCTGCAGCCCCTGAAAAGCAGCGCGTCGGTCCAGGAGATGGCGCAGCGGATATGGTCAAATCTCCCATGAGTTCAGACTCTGGTGGATACAACGAAAACAACATTGAACCGGTTGTGTCGCCAGATACGACAGGGCCCCAGATAGAGATCACAGGAAGTCCGCTGGCGCCGGCGCCTGAATTTCCATCCCGGAAATCTTCTAGTGCCGTGCCGGAATTTTCTTGTTTCTCCATCCCAGGAGCTCCGGAGTCTGCCCGTGAGTCTATTTCGACACAGCTACATAGCCCTCTCTCAGAAACAAGCCCTGTTACCGATGACCCGGCTGTTTTAGCTGCTGTCTTGTATGCCAACTCGGCCTTCGGTGGTGGTACCTCATCAGGATCAGTGGGGCGTGACCAGGCGTCTGCGGCTGCCGAGAGACCAAGCAGCTCCCGCCAAGGCCTTTCACATGGTTCTCAGCGCGGCTCTCAACGACACCATGCGCACCACAGCTCGTCTGCTCGCACAGGCTCTAATCGCAATAGTTGCACACGGACACAAAGCACCTACAGCAACACCATGACACCAATCTCTCCCGCAACCAATGCCTCGAGTTTCTTGGCGGTGGATAGCGGAGACGAAAAGCGACTTTCCGGGGAAAGTGCCCCGCCAAGTGAGCTTGGAGGACCTGACGACAATAGCACACGTCCCAGCACAGCGGACGCGTATCCTTCAGGTGTATCGGAGCCCGCAGGCGGTTACAGCCCCGGTCGTAGCTCTGTCGCTCGTGGTCAAGCTCGCTCCGAAGATGGTGCGAGCAAAGACTTCTCCAGGCTAGGAGCCCACGGAACCCGCAGCACGACCCAGTCGACGACTACTGGCGAGAGCATCAAAAATGAAACTCCGCAAGCGGATGACTCCCATGGTCCTCGCAAACTTCCTAAGCGGAGGAGTCGGCTTCGACTTGCTTTCTGGAAGCGTCGCAACCATTCGCACGAGGTCCGCGGTGAGACATGATTCTTGCCGTCATAGTTGGTGCTTTTAGGCTTGAACCATCTCCAGCTGTGTATAATGCTGCCATGGTCTTATGAACATTTCATTTTGCGATGAGGCTGGAGACCACACTGGTATTCCATGAATTCACGACTCGACCAGTCGAAGAAGCCGGACTTTGGATTTTCTTTTCCCACCGTATAGGCTCTCCTGGTCACGACTCTACGAAGTCGATAACGATACCTTCTTACCTTCTGCTGGACGTCTTGAGTTTGCCTCGGACAAGCAAATGCAAAGCTTGTCTGAGCGATTACAGAATCAAGACAAGATGAGTTGAATGTTTTTATCCTATCCTCCCTCCCCACTTTGAGGCTGAGAGTCACGCTATATCATGTATTCCTCTCAATGGGTACTGGCATTGGTGTCCCCCTACATCTCATCTGATTATTTGCATCGGGCTCGCCCACCTACTTCTGTGTGATGACCACGAATATCCTTTTCTATCCTTACCCTACACCTTCTTTCATCTCTTTTCTTCCGTTTTGCTCCGCCCTTGTGATGTTCATGGTGGTTCTCTCTTGCCTTAGAGTTCGGTGATAGGCCGGCGTTCTATCTCTTACAGGAGTGGGGTTTCTTTGACTCGACATTCGAGATCTTGATGGCCTTGGATATTCTTTTCTCTTTCCCCTGTACTTGATCCTCTTGTGTCTCGTCTATTTTCTTCTCTCTCTCTCTTTTTTTTTTTATGGACTCTTGTTAGACTCTTCCGCTCTGCGCGATAATGAATGTGATGTGTACAGTGAGACTCTGAATTTTGTTCTCAATGCTTGTAACAACCTTAACGTGAGTATGTTCAGTAGTATTTAATTCCAGCATTATGCTGACACGGTCTAAAAATCTTCTACATGAAGCAAACGAATGTACGTGCAGATCCCAAGAACAAGACCTAATACCTATTGACAATCCTCACAACCCGCCTTACCCTTACTCTCCTCCTCTTTCTTCGACTCCTGCTCACCCTGCTCCTTCTTCAACGCCCGATCCGTATGTCCCAAATCCCTATTCGGAGCAATAACATTCCGTACGAGTGACTTGAGCGCTTTGACTTCTGTATAGGGAAAGGAATGGTCAGATAATAGCACAACTAGACGAGTCTCGTACGCAGTGTATAACGAATGCATAGAAGACTGTATAGAATAATTGACAAAAATAAAATAAAAAAAAAAGGAAAGGAAAGGAAATAAAAACATACCAGGGAACCCCCCCATCCCTCTTCCGATCCCACAAAATACTCTCCTGCGTCGTGATCTCCCCATCCTTCATCGTCCCATGCCATATCGTCACTGTGAACACGCCGCCGGTTTTAGGAACGAGGGCGACTTCGCCGAGGTCTGTGCTGAATGTTGAGAGGAGTTCTTGGGCGAACTATGGTTTTCGTGTTAGTATTGGCATTGATGTTGGTTATGGTTGTAGTCATGGCCGTGTTGACAGTGACACTTGATATCGAGTTTGGTGCATGTCCATGTGTAATATCAAGGCACATGTACACATATGTATATCAAGTATCGAGAATCCAAATAACAAAACAACCAATCACATGCCAAACCCCAAAGACCTCTAACAAGACAGGCCAAAGAGAAAAACGGGAAGACAATAACGTACGTATGCGGCGCGGAGCATCCACCGGCACTGTGTGCAGAACTGGATTGAGATGCGGGGGAGATGGACGTTCACGGGTGCGATCTTGTCGCTAGTATCTGGGTTGGAGTCTAACGGGGTCGATGTAGATTCGGCCATGGTGAATGACTGTGGTTCGATGTCGATGCGAATAGTGCGATTGGATGGTGAGGTGATTGTGTGGTGTGGTGTGGATGGGGTGTTTGGGATGACAGGGGTTTGTAGTGTTGTACGCAGGTAGGTGTATTGCGGGCGTTATTTCTGGTTGGATAGGTGGTATGTTGGATGCAAGTCCTCGGGTTGATGTCCAGAGCTGCTTAGTGGGATGGGAATTTGGATGATGTCAGCGGGGATGGGCTGACTTTTTGTCTATATCAGTACCGAGGCACTTTGCTACACATACTAATGTACTGGATTGGAATAATGAATCTATGTGTATTTAGGATATACAAAAGTACTCGGCATGAGCTGCCAATTGCCAATTTAGGCCGTGCAAGGCCAAAACAAGGAATCCGAGCACCGGGTCACCCCAAGCAAATCGCACGCCGTGATTGCCGGAATTTGGGGCCGAATTACATGAAAATGGCGCAAATTCGATTAGATCGATATGGTATTGGTCATGCGAATCTATGATACATGAATGGCAGCTCTCACACCCTGAAACATAGAGGCTTTTTGAAGATTTGAAGAGAACCCGTAAGAAAAGGATACATAAGAGAAAGAAAAAGATAAGAAAAAGAAAAAGAGAAAAAGAGAAAAAGAAAAAGAAAAGGCCGATTCCAAACAAACACAGCGAGAAGGGGGAATGGTGAAATTCAGAGAAGAAGTAAGGCGCAACAAGTGCATCGTCAAGTGCACTGTCTGCAGAGTTCGGGGACCGGGGACGGACAGGGCGACAAAACACAACGGGATTCGTATGATCCTTGGAGGCGTGGAAGTTTTCGTGCAAGACCAGCAGACGATTCTTTCAGGCCGACATCTTTGTCCGCGCAAGCAATCGCAGTGCTTTGTTCGGGTCCAAGGGGGTCGTGAATGGGTCCGGAATTAAGTAGAAAAGGAAAAAATGAGAGCGAAATGTCATGGCGAAAGAAATTCCCGTCGTGAGTGCATTACATGACGGTGCAGCAACCTCCCTGTTGCTGGGGAGCATAGGGATCCTCGCGCTTGTCAACCTAGGAAATGGACTTGTTAGTTTGGTCGCGCGCGATGAGGCAAAAACCCGGTCGCATACCTGTCCCCATACGGATGGAACCATAAAGTCGCGAGTATTGTTGCAGTAACTGATGAGACTGTTGGAAGGTGTTAGTTGTTTGTGTTTCTCAACAAAGAAAAGAGTTTGACGGACGAGAGAGCTGCCTCGGAGACCTTGACCCGTGGACGGTCCAGATCCTCCTTCAGACGACCATTAAGCTCGGTCAACCGACGATATTTCAAGTCGGCGACACTTTGCTTCTTATTCTTAACATCACCCCCGGATCGAAGTTCGTAGGGAGCCATCGTGTGTTGAGCTGTGAAGGAAGCGCGAATGGAGAAAGGGGGAGAGGGGGGTTTTGGATCGGCAGGTGTCCCAAGGGCGTAAGAATTAGGTTAGGGGCGGGTAATCAGGGGCCAAGACGCCGGACAAAGAAGAGGAAAGAGGAAAGAGGAAAAAAAGAAGGTGAAGGAGTCGGGTTTGAATGAGAGAGAGAATGGACAAATGAATGGGCTGGTTTCGAGGGGATTTTCCTGAGATCCCTGGGCAGGTCCGTGGGTTTCCCTTTTTCCTTACACGTTACGTTGGTATATGTTATACTGGGGAAATTATTGGGGAGAGGAAGTACCTGGTACTTAGATTGGGTTGGGGTACTACTAGTATTTTGTACGGTGGAGACCAATACAAAACTTGTACCAGGTACTTATTGTTTGAACTTTGATGGATTAACTATATAGCTATAAACTACCATCGGGGTCGGAATGAGATAGTTGGAATTATAATATTAGTATATGACTCGGGATATTTTAGTCGACCAATAAAAAAAAACTATACCATGCATACCTAGGTAGTAATCCAATATGACACATCCTCGTAGACAAGGTGATCACCTTGTCAAGTACTTTCTGATTTCTGCCTCAGGCTTCCACACGTGATCGTCATCGCTTAACGCGAAGTGGGAACATTGGCGGGATCCAATTTTTGCTCTGGCCTCAACACGCACATTGTGAATCTTCCCCTCGTTATCGGGTATTCGCGTGGCAGCATCTCTAATCGCATTCTTCCCAGCTGCCCGTGTGTGTCGCTGGCTTTGCCCAACTTTTTTTTTTCTATTTTTTAATTTCTTATCAGCCACCTTTGATCCTTTCCCAAGGGGCATCCACCCATCATGCCGCCTCCTCCGCATATTAAGCCTGAGAATGTCCTCAAGGTAGGTGTCACCGTCGCTGTCGTCGCGACATCCAAGATGGATCGGTTGCTAATAACTATATCTTCCACAGAGGGCTCAGGAACTTATCGCCGTCGGTCAGGCGCCCGCCGCCTTGACTGTCCTCCACGAACATGTCACCTCCAAGCGCACCCGTAGCAGCCCCATCGCCTCCCTCGAGCCGGTGATGCTCCTATTTGTTGAGCTGTCCGTCGACCTTCGCAAGGGCAAGGCTGCCAAGGATGGTCTTTACCAGTACAAGAACATTGCTCAGAACACCAATGTCGGCACTATCGAGGTTCGTGTTGATGATCGGCGTTGAAAAAAAAAATTTGTGACTTGTCACTAATCTAGGATTTCTCCGTCTCTACAGATTGTTCTCAAGAAGTTCATCGAACTCGCCGAGCAGAAGGTCACCGAGGCCCAGGCTAAGGCTGATGAGATCCAGTCGACCCTCGAGTCCGCCGCTCCTTCCTCCAACATCGAGGATTTGGAGGCCATCGAGACCCCCGAGACCATCCTTCTTGCCACTGTCTCCGGTGAGCAGTCGCGCGACCGTACCGACCGCGCCGTCGTCACTCCTTGGCTCAAGTTCCTGTGGGAGACCTACCGCACCGTCCTCGAGATCCTGAAGAACAATGCCCGTCTCGAGATCATGTACCAGTCGACTGCCTTGCAGGCCTTCAAGTTCTGCCAGAAGTACGCCCGCAAGACCGAGTTCCGCCGCCTGTGTGAGCTCCTGCGCAACCACGTCCAGAATGCCGCCAAGTACTCTTCGCAGATGCACGCCATCAACCTGAGCGACGCCGACACCTTGCAGCGTCACCTTGACACCCGCTTCCAACAGTTGAACGTCGCCGTTGAGTTGGAGCTGTGGCAGGAGGCTTTCCGCAGCATTGAGGATATCCACACTTTGTTGAACCTCAGCAAGCGCCCCGCCAAGAACATCATGATGGCCAACTACTACGAGAAGCTCGCCCGCATTTTCCTTGTTAGCGAGAACTACCTCTTCCACGCCGCCGCTTACAACCGCTACTACAACCTCCTGCGTCTTTCTTCCGTGGCCCTCGCCAGCGGGCAGAGCTCCAAGAAGGACAACCCGTCGGTCACCGAGCTCGAGATGACCAAGGCCGCCTCCTTTGTCCTACTCTCCGCTCTGTCCATCCCCGTTATCAGCACTTCCCGCTCCCGCGGCGCCCTGGTCGATGTGGACGAGGCTCGCAAGAACAAGAACACCCGTCTCACTAACCTTCTCGGCATGGCCACATCGCCCACCCGTACTGTGCTCTTCCGCGATGCTCTGAACAAGGGTCTGCTCCGCCGTGTGCGCCCCGAGATCCGCGAAGCTGTACAACATCCTCGAGGTTGACTTCCACCCCCTGTCCATCTGCAAGAAGATCACCCCCATCCTGAAGCAGATTGGTGCCGACCCCGAGATGGAGAAGTACGTTGTGCCTTTGCAGCAGGTCATTCTCACCCGTCTGTTCCAGCAGCTGTCCCAGGTTTACGAGTCAGTTGAGCTCAAGTTCGTCTACGAGCTTGCCCAGTTCCCTGCTCCGTTCCAGATCACCCCCGCCATGATCGAGAAGTTCATCATGAACGGTTGCAAGAAGGGTGACCTCGCTATTCGCGTTGATCACATCTCCGGCGTCCTCACTTTCGACTCCGATGTCTTCTCTTCCTCTAAGGCTACCCACGCCGGCAGCGGCGCTGGCTCCGCTGAGAGTGAGGTTGGCTCTGTTCAGCGCCTGCAACACACCCCCGCCGAGATCGCCCGTTTCCAGGTCGCCCGTCTCGCCAAGACCCTCCACGTTGCCTGCATGTACGTCGATCCCTCCTACAACCAGGCTCGTCTCCAGGCCAAGCAGACTGCCCAGGCCCGCGCCATTGCTGGTGCCGCCCAGGAGCACGAGGAGACCCTTGCCCGTCGCGTTCTTATCGACAAGAAGAAGGAAGCCGCTACCGATGCTCTGCAGCGCAAGCAGCGTGAGGAGGAGACTCGCAAGCGTGTCCGTGCCCAGCAACTCCAGGATGCTGAGAAGCAGCGTCTGGCTGATGAGCAGCGTGACCGTGAGCTCAAGCGTATTAAGGATGAGCAGGACCGCATCCGCCAGGAGGAGCTTAAGAAGCAGCTCGAGGAGCTCAAGACTGGTGTTAAGGGTATTGATGTCAGCGAGATCGACCTTGACGAGCTTGATGCCAACCGCCTGCGCGCTATGAAGCTGGCTCAGCTTGAGAAGGAGAAGAACGAGCTGAACGACCGTATCCGTACCACTGCCAAGCGTATCGACCACTTGGAGCGTGCCTTCCGTCGCGAGGAACTGAAGCACATCGCCGCCGATTATGATGCCCAAAAGAAGCACGACAGGGAGCTTTATGAGCAGCAAGTCGCTGAGCAGGTGCGCGAGTCTAAGGAGAAGCACGCCGAGGCCGTTGCCCTCAAGCACCGTCTTGGTCGTCTGGTTCCCGTTTTCAGCAACTTCCGCAAAGAGGTTTCCGAGAAGCGCCACGAGGAATTCGAGAAGCGTCGCAAGGCCGCCGAGCGCGACTTCGAGGCTAAGAAGAAGCAGCGTGTCAAGGAGGTCCAGGAGCGCCGCCGTCGCGAAAAGCAGGAGCGCGAGGAAGCGGAGGCTCGTCGACGAGAGGAGCAGGAGCGTGCCGAGCGTGAGGAGCAGGAACGCATCGCCCGCGAGGAGGAGCGCCGTCGTGTCTTGGCCGAGG